TCTCTTATTGTCTTGTTTTTGTTTTGCAAATAACGTCATCTTTGGTCAATCATGCCCTCATTAATCAATAATGTGAACATGCCAAGACTGCCACCCTGCGAACGCAGACGTATTTGCGGCTGTCGCATGTCTACGCCGAAAATTACAGCTACAAGACTACAAAATACCCCAAACGTTTTAAACCTTAAACAAGAAAAGGGTTCAAGACAATGAGAAATAACGAAAGTACTCTTTATAAGCATGATCGTTTTGAAACCAACTTGTTGTTATCTTGGGGCTTGATTGCAATGGCCAATTCAATCTTTTTTGTGCACTTAATGCAAAACAAGGTTCAACTGAAATAGTGTATCCCACACATGTACCCCTTGGGCACCTATTTTGCATATTTGCTGGCAAGCGACTCCATGAATCGAAGTGACGACAGCCTCTGCGGTTAATACTTTTGCTAATTGCGATCAAAAATAGAGGGTCTGTGAACAGCCTGAAACTGGCCTAACATAATTACGTTTTCGGGTCACTGAATTTTTAAAATGGAGCCGCGTAATGTTTTGTCACTAATTCTAATACCATATTTTTTTGAATATTGCACCAAAGTAAATTTACATCGTTGAGTGCAGTTGGACGCATTTGTAAAAGAGATTTGTAATTGACCCAATATAACTGTTTTGATATTAACTTTACTGTTAAAAACAGCCTTGTGGATCTAAAAAAGTTTTTCACCCCCTGTATTAATCCAGTAACTCGCAAGGATTATCAACATATATCTTCTCCTTAGAATATCGATACGTTGTCATGTAGGCAGGCAAGGAGAATTGAGGAAACTATCAACTAAGGGATATTGTCTTAATGCAGCATCATCGTTCTTAGAAAGAACATTAAAAGAAATTGATGACCAAACCGCAACCATTAACTATACTAACGAAAATATTACATTCAATATCTAAGTCAGTTAAAAGTGTTCAGTTAAAATGTATCCTGGCAACTTTGATAATAAAAATACAAACATAGGACATTCTAAATGGATATATTTCAAGTGAAATACCTTTGACTAAAAGGAGCCTTATTTTGGTCGCCGAACACTGCGTATAAAGTGTTGTTGCATTGCTATGTTTTAGTAACCGTACAGAGAATTTAGGAATTCTAGAAATACCGCCTAAACTAAGACTTCCTATGTAAATCATTTGTCGTTTTGTCATCCATGGCGAAGAACACGCGAACTTAAATATCAAGATGAAGTAAACCGATTTCCAACTTCCGGTAAATAAAACTCAGTCAATAATATTTCACAAGCGTAATAAAGGTTAAATTTCAATTGCACGTCCTCTTCATACAAGAATTATCCGAATATTTACTCATCCTGTTTGCACGACAAAGATGTTTATAGGAAGTCGCACGTTCTAGAACCAAAATATGTTTAAATGTATTGGAGTACGTGTCACGTTTATTTTTACATATAATAACGAAATAAATTTCTTGATGGATTATCCCTTGTGTAGGAAAGAGTAATTGATTTTGTGTCTACGAAAATACTAATATTTACTTTGATTTGACCAATAATCTCTACAAGTCACGGTATCTCCTACTACTATTATTATGTTGTTTACTTTCAGGAAATTTGCCGCATCGAATTTTAATAATTTTTCTGTTTGTAGGGCGGATGACAGTTGTCGATGTCACACGAGTAAACAAAACGCGGATAAATGCATGAAAAACACAGACGCCTTTTTCCTGATTTGGTATATTTACAAAGGTGAATCACAGGAAAAGTGGAATTACGTTGATGATTTCTTTTTCGGGGTATAATTGAGACCGAAATAAGAATTACGATATTGGTTCTCGAATTTCTAATATTGCTGATGTCATGCACAGGTCGCTTCAATTCGACGAGGGCCAAGTCACGAGTTGATACCTGCAGCTGAAACCGCTATTTTACATCACAAAAGAGCGAGCGACGAGTCAAGACAATAACAGAATTACAGCCTGTCCTTTGAATGAACGAAAAAGTGAAAGGAAATTTCATCAACGAAACGCTAATGAGCGCTGCTTCAAAACCTTTTCAAGCCTTTTCAAGTCTTTCAAGAGTGTAGGCGGATCATTTTAATTACCAAAGTAGATACCTTGCGTTTGTATAGCATTTTTTCAGATACGATTTCAAACTTGCGAGCCACAACATCGGATGCCAACAGAAGAAGGTTATAACAAGATGCCTCCTAGCGCAGAGCCTTCCGCCGAACCAAGGACAACGGACCCGAACCCCGAACCTTTGCCCGATTGGGATACAGCGCTTATGGCGTGGAAATCACTCTGGGAAATACACTTCATTGGATTTGGACTGCTGTTTCTGGGAGTCACGTTATTCTCTTGTATATGCGTGGTTAAAATCAAACATCGCGCTAAAGGCATGACATTAGGGAATTATTTCCTTGCAGTGTGTTTAATGCTGGTGGTGTTTAGTTTCTCGAGGACACTGTTTCTTATGCTGGATCCGTACGAGTCACACACGGTCTTAAATCTGCCTGTGCTATTGATCAGAATTCTGTTCGCGATTGGTTACCCATGCCTAACTTCAGCTTTATCACTCATTCATTTCGCTTTCCTGGAGGTAAACAAACTTAGACTCGTTTCTCGTCGACTCCAGAACATCAAGTTCCTTGTGTCGGTGATAGCGACACATTTCGTCGTTGTTTTGGTGGTGTACCTATTGATAACAATGGCGCCCAAGCTCGCTCGCCTTCTCATCCTGTGCCAAACGATATTAATCGTTTGGTGGTTAGTCCTCGCGCTGTGTTTCCTGTACAGTGGATGGCAAGTGAACTGGCAGTCTCAACTCACTGCCAAATTTTTCAAGGCTACAACCGTAAAAGAAAGAGCTGTTTCCACGCTCTCCACATCCTCGCTCGATTCGCGCGTGACTGCGGAGCAGAATCGCGTCCAGGCAGAACAGAACGAGCCTCCTAAAGGAGCGCAGAAAATCGCGCGAATTTCAGGTCTCGTCTCGCTTCTCGCCCTGCTGTACGTGGCTGCGGATCTTTACTCGTTGTTCTCACTGTATAATCTTTACGATCTTGAGGAAGAAAGCAGCGTGGATCATTGGTCATGGTGGGGTTATCAGACGTGCAACCGCATGTTGGATTTTCTGTTGTGTTTGGTGATCGCGTACGTGATTTTCCCTTCCACTCAAATAGAGAAGAAGCAAAAAAGTTCAGGGGACAGCCATTCTGTGCGAATGAATAAAAACGTTACGATCAAGTCTTTTGATAAACTGGATGTGGTGTAAAATATTCAAGGAATACATGCGATATTGGAAGATGAGATTTCGAACCGAGCCTACGTCACGGCATAACATGACCTGTGATCAGACAACACGAAAGACATCCACTGAACGTCACTTACTTCAACCCCGACTTCAACAAGGAAATCAAGAAAAAGTTGAAGTCTCGGGGTATGAGATAGAACAGTTGCAATTAAATCAAACTGATTACGAGTTACAATTTAATCTGAATGTTAGCATTACCAATACTTAGCTAATAAGTTGAATTGCATTAAAAGAATGGGTAAAGTTTTACGGCCGCGTTTTGAACAGTTGTACAAATAAGCTGGTTTATCCAACTACGATTTCACAAGGTCAACACAATTCATGCGTTGTATTGACACTCACGATTTTATGCTGACACGAAATATGGGAATTATTTCACGAGAAAAGCCGGCTGGGTTATGTTTGTTATTCTTGACGTCAGCGAAGAAACACGATTAGGCGACTATCGATTTCTTGTAGTGGGCTGCTATTGGTTTCTTGAGAAAAGCTCTGGTNGTTGCTGTAACATGCTCCGCTTCACTGATGTCCCCGTAGCACATCCCCTAGTGTGAACCGAAATTGAGGCGCCTTTGAAATCATACACTTTGACCGGTGTGCATGTGTCAAAGGTAGAGTGGTATCTTTCACCAAATAGCTACATCATGGGTAATCAAAAGTAGAAATAAAGTGCCGGTGTATATTTGTGTAATGATTAAGACATCTTCAGCCTAACCTTCAGATTTGTAGCCTCTTTTGCTGTTAATATGGGGCAGAAATGTTTTTCATTCTTTTTTTTTTCACTTTTTGTGCTTATGCTCGCAAACAACTGATTGAAACTGTTACCAGTGCTTCAGCGTCCATAATCCAAGATGGCGGCTCTATCAACTTGCAAGCTAAAAGACAACCTCGTTTCCAAGGTTTCTCAAAGGGAACGAGGTTGGAAGGAGTTGGTTTTGCGCTAGGAGAGATACGTGAACTGCGTGAGCTGTAGGTACAATACTGTGATTGTTTGTTAACAATTCCGTAATAGGAGGGTCTGAATGGGGGTACCTCGATAACACTAAACACTTAAATTTTTGGCTCTGTAACACAGCGCAGTTAAATTTTAGTCATTTTAACACTAACAGTGAAAAATTCTCTGTAACAGTAAATTTTACCTAGAAGGAAACAAAAACTCCTCCTTAAAGGGCAATGTTATTTTGTTCAGTATAGCAAGAAGTTTTCGGGTACTTTCCGACGATTCCCGATCTTTTCGGAAGATTTCTGAAGATTCCCGAAGACAGCCGAAGACGTCCGAAGACTACCGAAGATGTACAGAGACTACCAAAGGTAGACTACTCGTTAAGCCCAAGAAAATTCCCTCAGATGTTTCTTGACGGCTGCCAGGCTGGATTGCTTCGAAAGGTCGAAAGTGACCCTGCTTCTATGCCTTTCGAAACCAGAATCCTCTCCGCTTCTATAGAAGCTCACTAGAACTTTGGCAACACCGGAGGAGAATCCACTCGATGCCAATGCCGCCATCGCCGCCATGATGTTTTGACGCTGACCAAAGGATCGTGGGCTCCTGGCACGAGGTAGTTCCCAGCGCTACCCAGGCTTCCCAGAATAGACAGAATACTGTTACACATTGGGTCGAAAAAAGAGACTACAGAACCTTTGAGAGGCTTTGAGCACGGGCTTAAAGTTCATGAGTGATTTTATTACCGATTTGCGTAGAGCAGATGAAAATTTACAATGCTAAAAGACTATGGGACCCTATGGTGTTTCCACGAAAAACCCTCCAAACACTTAACAGTATTTTCTCCAGAAACAGTAAACATTAAAAATTTGGCCAATTTAACAGCAAATACTAAAAATTGTGGTCAAATAACACTAAACACTAAACCCCATTCAGACCCTCTAGTAGTTTTGTTATTATAGAGTAGTTAATATATGGAAGTCGCTGCGCAGTTCCCTTAAGGATATCTTAAAAATTTTCTAGATTCCTACTGCCTCTTAATGGCTTTTCCTTTTGTTGTTGTTATTAATTAGTAGCTTATTGTTACTTGTAGGTATTGTCTTTGAAAAGCCACTTTGGGGAAAGTCAATAAAGGATGTATATAAGTATGCACTATCTCATGGCCTACATAAGGTGACGTCAATTGATGATTGATGAGTTCGTTCCATCAAAAAACAATCGTTGTTGTCTATGGAATTCTTTGGAAAAAAGGACGCTTTTTAGTCTCCTCCCCCATTTAATCACCTTGTCATTATCACCTTCGCACTCACTCTCTAAATTAAATCGAGCAACATCTGAAAGAATCAAAATACAAAACAACAACCATACAGTGTCAAGAATTATTTTAACTCCGAATAAAAAGCAAACGAGAGGGGAAATCGGAACCAACTGAATTCTGTAGGCCATGAAGCTGTCATGCATTTTCTATCTACGCTATTTTCGGAAACCGCTATATATCTTGACGGGAAATTTATTTGCAAGAAAGGAGCCATGAACTTTCGATTTTATTGTTTGCTTATCATTACATGGCATTATATATAGAATTTTACAGGATTTTGTGGTAATCAAGAGTAGTTTGGGAAACGTTTCATGACCAAGTGACGCGAAGTTCTACGGATATTAGTGCTCGAAATCCAAAGATTCCACTGAAGATGCGAACTTGTTTTCGTTTCGATTTTGTGTGAAGATCGACGGTTTAACTGCATGGTGTAACAGTTGCACAGTTATAATTTGCTGTTCTCGTGGAAGAAAAAAAAAATTGTAATGTGCATGGAAGATGGAAATGCTTGGTGACATGCACAGACAGTCAGCGCAACATGAGAAGATTAAATGTACTGCCCTGGGCTAACGACATTGTAATTTATTAGTATTTTCTATTCTCTTATTGTCTTGTTTTTGTTTTGCAAATAACGTCATCTTTGGTCAATCATGCCCTCATTAATCAATAATGTGAACATGCCAAGACTGCCACCCTGCGAACGCAGACGTATTTGCGGCTGTCGCATGTCTACGCCGAAAATTACAGCTACAAGACTACAAAATACCCCAAACGTTTTAAACCTTAAACAAGAAAAGGGTTCAAGACAATGAGAAATAACGAAAGTACTCTTTATAAGCATGATCGTTTTGAAACCAACTTGTTGTTATCTTGGGGCTTGATTGCAATGGCCAATTCAATCTTTTTTGTGCACTTAATGCAAAACAAGGTTCAACTGAAATAGTGTATCCCACACATGTACCCCTTGGGCACCTATTTTGCATATTTGCTGGCAAGCGACTCCATGAATCGAAGTGACGACAGCCTCTGCGGTTAATACTTTTGCTAATTGCGATCAAAAATAGAGGGTCTGTGAACAGCCTGAAACTGGCCTAACATAATTACGTTTTCGGGTCACTGAATTTTTAAAATGGAGCCGCGTAATGTTTTGTCACTAATTCTAATACCATATTTTTTTGAATATTGCACCAAAGTAAATTTACATCGTTGAGTGCAGTTGGACGCATTTGTAAAAGAGATTTGTAATTGACCCAATATAACTGTTTTGATATTAACTTTACTGTTAAAAACAGCCTTGTGGATCTAAAAAAGTTTTTCACCCCCTGTATTAATCCAGTAACTCGCAAGGATTATCAACATATATCTTCTCCTTAGAATATCGATACGTTGTCATGTAGGCAGGCAAGGAGAATTGAGGAAACTATCAACTAAGGGATATTGTCTTAATGCAGCATCATCGTTCTTAGAAAGAACATTAAAAGAAATTGATGACCAAACCGCAACCATTAACTATACTAACGAAAATATTACATTCAATATCTAAGTCAGTTAAAAGTGTTCAGTTAAAATGTATCCTGGCAACTTTGATAATAAAAATACAAACATAGGACATTCTAAATGGATATATTTCAAGTGAAATACCTTTGACTAAAAGGAGCCTTATTTTGGTCGCCGAACACTGCGTATAAAGTGTTGTTGCATTGCTATGTTTTAGTAACCGTACAGAGAATTTAGGAATTCTAGAAATACCGCCTAAACTAAGACTTCCTATGTAAATCATTTGTCGTTTTGTCATCCATGGCGAAGAACACGCGAACTTAAATATCAAGATGAAGTAAACCGATTTCCAACTTCCGGTAAATAAAACTCAGTCAATAATATTTCACAAGCGTAATAAAGGTTAAATTTCAATTGCACGTCCTCTTCATACAAGAATTATCCGAATATTTACTCATCCTGTTTGCACGACAAAGATGTTTATAGGAAGTCGCACGTTCTAGAACCAAAATATGTTTAAATGTATTGGAGTACGTGTCACGTTTATTTTTACATATAATAACGAAATAAATTTCTTGATGGATTATCCCTTGTGTAGGAAAGAGTAATTGATTTTGTGTCTACGAAAATACTAATATTTACTTTGATTTGACCAATAATCTCTACAAGTCACGGTATCTCCTACTACTATTATTATGTTGTTTACTTTCAGGAAATTTGCCGCATCGAATTTTAATAATTTTTCTGTTTGTAGGGCGGATGACAGTTGTCGATGTCACACGAGTAAACAAAACGCGGATAAATGCATGAAAAACACAGACGCCTTTTTCCTGATTTGGTATATTTACAAAGGTGAATCACAGGAAAAGTGGAATTACGTTGATGATTTCTTTTTCGGGGTATAATTGAGACCGAAATAAGAATTACGATATTGGTTCTCGAATTTCTAATATTGCTGATGTCATGCACAGGTCGCTTCAATTCGACGAGGGCCAAGTCACGAGTTGATACCTGCAGCTGAAACCGCTATTTTACATCACAAAAGAGCGAGCGACGAGTCAAGACAATAACAGAATTACAGCCTGTCCTTTGAATGAACGAAAAAGTGAAAGGAAATTTCATCAACGAAACGCTAATGAGCGCTGCTTCAAAACCTTTTCAAGCCTTTTCAAGTCTTTCAAGAGTGTAGGCGGATCATTTTAATTACCAAAGTAGATACCTTGCGTTTGTATAGCATTTTTTCAGATACGATTTCAAACTTGCGAGCCACAACATCGGATGCCAACAGAAGAAGGTTATAACAAGATGCCTCCTAGCGCAGAGCCTTCCGCCGAACCAAGGACAACGGACCCGAACCCCGAACCTTTGCCCGATTGGGATACAGCGCTTATGGCGTGGAAATCACTCTGGGAAATACACTTCATTGGATTTGGACTGCTGTTTCTGGGAGTCACGTTATTCTCTTGTATATGCGTGGTTAAAATCAAACATCGCGCTAAAGGCATGACATTAGGGAATTATTTCCTTGCAGTGTGTTTAATGCTGGTGGTGTTTAGTTTCTCGAGGACACTGTTTCTTATGCTGGATCCGTACGAGTCACACACGGTCTTAAATCTGCCTGTGCTATTGATCAGAATTCTGTTCGCGATTGGTTACCCATGCCTAACTTCAGCTTTATCACTCATTCATTTCGCTTTCCTGGAGGTAAACAAACTTAGACTCGTTTCTCGTCGACTCCAGAACATCAAGTTCCTTGTGTCGGTGATAGCGACACATTTCGTCGTTGTTTTGGTGGTGTACCTATTGATAACAATGGCGCCCAAGCTCGCTCGCCTTCTCATCCTGTGCCAAACGATATTAATCGTTTGGTGGTTAGTCCTCGCGCTGTGTTTCCTGTACAGTGGATGGCAAGTGAACTGGCAGTCTCAACTCACTGCCAAATTTTTCAAGGCTACAACCGTAAAAGAAAGAGCTGTTTCCACGCTCTCCACATCCTCGCTCGATTCGCGCGTGACTGCGGAGCAGAATCGCGTCCAGGCAGAACAGAACGAGCCTCCTAAAGGAGCGCAGAAAATCGCGCGAATTTCAGGTCTCGTCTCGCTTCTCGCCCTGCTGTACGTGGCTGCGGATCTTTACTCGTTGTTCTCACTGTATAATCTTTACGATCTTGAGGAAGAAAGCAGCGTGGATCATTGGTCATGGTGGGGTTATCAGACGTGCAACCGCATGTTGGATTTTCTGTTGTGTTTGGTGATCGCGTACGTGATTTTCCCTTCCACTCAAATAGAGAAGAAGCAAAAAAGTTCAGGGGACAGCCATTCTGTGCGAATGAATAAAAACGTTACGATCAAGTCTTTTGATAAACTGGATGTGGTGTAAAATATTCAAGGAATACATGCGATATTGGAAGATGAGATTTCGAACCGAGCCTACGTCACGGCATAACATGACCTGTGATCAGACAACACGAAAGACATCCACTGAACGTCACTTACTTCAACCCCGACTTCAACAAGGAAATCAAGAAAAAGTTGAAGTCTCGGGGTATGAGATAGAACAGTTGCAATTAAATCAAACTGATTACGAGTTACAATTTAATCTGAATGTTAGCATTACCAATACTTAGCTAATAAGTTGAATTGCATTAAAAGAATGGGTAAAGTTTTACGGCCGCGTTTTGAACAGTTGTACAAATAAGCTGGTTTATCCAACTACGATTTCACAAGGTCAACACAATTCATGCGTTGTATTGACACTCACGATTTTATGCTGACACGAAATATGGGAATTATTTCACGAGAAAAGCCGGCTGGGTTATGTTTGTTATTCTTGACGTCAGCGAAGAAACACGATTAGGCGACTATCGATTTCTTGTAGTGGGCTGCTATTGGTTTCTTGAGAAAAGCTCTGGTGATATTTGAATACAAGTAGCAGCTGTTGTCTCCGTTTTCCTGTGTTTCCAACACTTCAAAACGACAAAACGGAGTAGCTTAGAGAAGATCAAATGGACCGCTTACAGCCAGTTAACCGCAAGCCTGTGATAAAAAGGGTTGGAATGCAAGCGCAATTGAAGACAAGATGTAGAAAGAAACAAAAAAAATAACTTTGAACAGAGCCATAACGAAAGACTGTAATGGAGAGAGTGACAAGTGAGGGTCTCCACGGAAAACGAATGCAAAACCTTTAACAGAAGCAAGTTGAAAATCAAGCTTTGCAAAGAACTGAGCTTGCGACATATTTTAATAAAGAGAAAAATATAAACAGCGAATCAAAATAGTAAACAACAATACACAGGCCAGAAATCCATTAAAATTCTTCATGTTTTATTGTCTCAAGCAATTTCTGAATGCTATGCATGAATTCTGTCGTTAACTTCGTCGTTGTTAAGTTAATAAATAAGCCAGCAGTTCAACAAACGCTGGAAAATACTATCTTTGTCGATAATAGAAGGGCAAGAGAACAAACGAACGTGTTATCTAAAGAAACTGAAACTGTTGTATTCAGAAAAAAGATTATGAAAAGAAAACGGGAAAACATGCGCATTGGACAAGTATCTCCTCCCCATTCCCCTCGCGACTCGGATATCAGCGAGTTTTTCCCGCCAAAACAACAAAAGTCTGATCTCAGGCTAAGAAAAAAGAAAACAAACAAACTTGCTTTTTACAGCGGCAAATTACTCAAAATACAAACAAATCTATCAGTAAACAAGGAAAATAACGAAGACGTAGATTATTATCATTACCCAAAACATTCAACATGTCACTTCGATTCAATTCATAACAATGAAAGACAACCGTGTCCTTTTGCCTTCAATAAATTACACATTTACTATACGTTTTGGTCAAATGTACTTTACGCAATGTACTGGATAATTAAAATTAAATCTACGACATTTTTAAGGCCTTGAAAATCAGTGTCACGCAAGGCTTCTACCTAAAAGAACACAGAAACACAGCGTGACAAACGCGAGAACACAGAAACACTGCGTGACAATCGTAAGATAAAAAGCAAGTAACAAAACATGTTTGCGAAGAAAAGTTAACGAAAATGTAATGCTTTCTTTCTTTAAGTATTAAAATTCTGTTCGAATTGGCAATATCTAAACGAATTAATAAATTTTTCTTCTCTTTAAAGTATTTATGGCGATAATTGACCAACATGGCCACATTTTACCCGGCAGGATTTGAATCTACAATTTACACTTTGCTTTGAACGAGTTCATAAAATTCCAACGAAAAAAAAGCTATCCTTTTACATACATGATTTAAAGCAAAGATATCTTACAACTGTACAATGTGCACAATTACATAGGTAGCAATCTATAAATTTGACAAAAAATATATCTTAACAGGTGTCTTATCTAACTCCATATGTAAAAATTCTTGAAACTGCAAAAGAGAGAAAAAACACTAGTGAGTTTACTTTACCAAATTATCAATCCATGTAATAGACCCTTTTCATAAATGGCTGCCAATTATAAATTCTTTTGTAAGTATTAAAATTAGCCTGACTGACCTCGTTTTTGAGTTGATAATTCAAAAAAACTGTTACTCCCAAACAAGTTTAGTGAGGCTAATTTAAATCCTTACAAAATAATTTTAAATTGGGAGCCATTTATGAAAAGGGTCTATCTGTCGTCACGCCTAGAAAAACTACTGGAATAAACCCAAGACTCGTTTTAATACTTCTGATCATAAAGCGCCTGCGGTTTCTAGTATCTTCGCAGTGTGATCAAGTGCTGACAATGGTTTTAGCTTGCAAAGCATGATGATTGATTCAAAGAAGGCACGTGCAGCACATTCTGACCAATCAGGACGCGACAATGTCTACTGCATGGCCAATGAAATGACACTAACACAACATGGTCAGGTATTCGGAAAAAAAAAAAAATGAAAAGGAAGTTTAAACGGGAGTACGTACGTTTGAACATTTGTATTTTGTTTTCTTTTCATCTCATCAAAAATCGCTTCTTACCTTTGTACTATACAGTTGTAACGTTCTTGTTGTTTTTATTTGAAGGTAAAGGTGTGATATCGTGCTGTAAGAGAGAAAAACAAACTGTAAGTCGACAGCAGCAGCAAAACTAAGCCGGAAGAATTGTATTCACAATATTTCAACCTCTCACCTGATTTCTTCTGCGTGCGTTGAACGCCGCTAACCGTGATGTGTTTAGTTTAACTGTTCTGACAGGACTAGGCGGTCTGGGACTGATCATCTATCAAACGCAATTACACAACAGTTAGATTTGTATGCAGTTTTAATGCCAGAGGAGCAACGAGTACTGAATTTGGAAAATAAACACCATCTTAAGACATGATTTGTTGAAGAGAAGAAGTCTTACCTTTATCCACTGGGAATTAAGACAGTTCTGACAATCTGCTCTTTTCCTACATTGAATATAAAAGGTTCAAGATTAGATATTACGGTAACCATATTAATTTCCGGAATATTTTAAGATAACGTATTGGTGAAAGCACTAGATAACCTTCAGAACCTAATGTGACGTGAATAAACGTGACGTTGCAGATCCATAAAGGAGAGTCGGAAGTTGCCGGCCCCCTCCGATTGTTTCCGATCTCACAAGTCGGGTTCAGACAGTTGACGAACCCATTGAGAAATATTTCCTGATTAAACCCGTGTTTCGAGACGGGACGGGTCAATTTGGGAAATGCGAGTTCCACAAAAACTATTTACATAGTTCGAGCAAGGTAACCTATACTCCAACTTACTTTGGGTTTTTAACAAGAAGCGAGGTGATGAAATCTTTGCCCTGTTGTGAAATGGGTTCGAAGTGCTTTGGATTAAATTCGTATTTGACTTCTGCAATACTCCGACACGTTTCCTCGACTGTTTCTCCTTGAAAAGGCGAAACTCCGCTTAATCTGCAAGTTAACACAAGTGACTGTCAGAGTTATATGGCAAAAATCAACGCACTGGATTCAGCACGATCTAAGATAAAACCTCCATGCAATGAAGAAAAAACATTTAACGAAGACTGCGAGATGCAACGATTCATAAATGGAGTTTCTGTTCAAGATAGCGAAAGGTCCAAGAGAGCGCTTCAGTTTCCATAATTTTTGAAAACAATCCTAGCTTTGGTGTTGAACTCCAAAACAACGAATCATAACGAAAAGGTTAGGTAAGAAACAATGGTGATACTTACATGACGTAGGTAATGACTCCTATACTCCTGCAATCAAAGAAGAGAACAAACGGTGTAAATAAGACCGATTGAGAAAATAATAATAATAAAAAAAAACAATTTAGAACAATACAATAACTCACAGTAGGTTCACATTGAAAGCACTCACCACGTGTCTGTCGTGAAGTCTACAGGTTTTCTGTTTACAAGTTCTGGAGCTGATGAAAAAAGAAAACCGGTTTGTTAAAGCTTGAGGGACTTTAGGGTATTGATAACGAACTTTTCTGTAAATGGTGATTGTTACTTTGAGGTCTCTAGATGAATTCTTAGTGTGTGACCCTTCTGCTGTACAAGTTGGTTCTTAATTTTTTATAAGTCTGTGGATAAAACCCTAGTGTGTGACCATTCAAATGAAAGCTATTGAGCAGTACTTTCATGTGGCATTGTTTATTATGCTGTGCAAGTTGGTTTTTAGATTTCAGAATGAAACCCTAGTGTGTGACCATAAAAATGAAAGCTATTGAATAGACTTTTACTTTGCTATTAGTTTGCTCTAGTTCGATGAAAACAGCTGAATTGCTCTGTGTTTGAACTTCAGGGCACTGAAGAAAGGCTGGTCGGTATCTGAACAAATAAGATGACTACATTTACCTGAACACTCAGGATTTCCAAACACTTGTTTCACTACAGCTTCTGAACTGGAAATTTCAGCCGCACAGCCAAAATCAATGATCTTGACTTTTGGTAACGGCCCACTATCTAGAAGAAGATTTTGAGGCTAAAAGAAACAAAGAAAGATAATCACACAGGTTAGTAACACAAAGACGATATCACAACTGCTACAAAACCAGTACTCAACTTTCATAGCCTCACCTTCAAGTCGAGGTGTACAATAGAGAGATCTCTGAGGTGCTGAACACCATCAAGTATTTCTTTAACGTGACCAATAGCGACCTTCTCCGTTAAATTGTCCATAACAACAAGATGGTCGAACAGCCGACCACCTGCTAAAAGTTCAACTATTACTACGTAGTTTTTCGGCGTGTCAAAAGCGTCGATAAAGCCACTTAAATTTGGATGTTTGAGTCTTCTGAGAAGAGCGATTTCATCCTCGACTTCGTCTTTGCCCACCATTCGTTTCTTGACCAATTTCGCGGCATATTCATTTCCTGTTGCCTTTTCGACGCTTTTCTTTACAACAGAAAACCGGCCCCTACGGGAAAAGTGAATGAACGCTAATCAGTAATCGTAAACGAAACATTTATATGAACACTAGCAAGCGAAGGAAAAGAAGAGACCTGTGAAAAGCGCGGGAAAAACTGTAAGCAGTGGAAAGCACGGGAAAAACTGTAAGCCGTGGAAAGCGCGGGAGAAACTGTAAGCAACGCGACGCTCGTTGGCCGATAAATTTAACCTAGGGGAACTTTCTTAGTTAAAGCACTGATGCTTGCATCTTGTAGGATGCCGCCTTCTGGTGAGATAAATCAATTTTAGCGGCCAGTCCCACTTACCTTCCTAACTCAGCGTAAATGTTGTAAAAAGCTTCGATGTCTGTTTTCCAAACGATTGGTTCTCTTTGTGAGTTGGAGCGCTGCTTTCTCTTGCAGGTCTTTTTCTTCTTATCTTCGTCTGAAAACATGGAACAGATGAAACAACGTTTTATGTACAGTCGAGGCAACGAGAGCGCGTTCAAAACGGAAGAATAAATGTCGTCACTTCCTCTTAAGTGTTTATCACGCACCAGGAGTGGGGTGGAAGAAACGAGGGGTGGGGAAGAGGAGAAAATGGCCTTCCGAGCCACTGCATAAAGTGCTTGTCTCTTCGAATTCTCTTTCCTTAAATTATCTTTCACATTCATTCCCAGCACTATAGCATCTTGTTAAAACAGCGACCAAGAATACCTTATTACATGAAATCTTCGCGACACCTTAATTTCGCGATTTTGAGGTTCGCATATTTCGCGACACCTTAATTTCGCGATTTTGCGAAAATTTTGCATTTTGACTCACTTTAATTTCGCGATTTTTGAGTGAGACAGTTTATTTCTTTGTCAATGTTATTTAACATGTCCCTGAATTTGATCAAACAACTTAATCAACAACGTCCAAATAAACAGAAACGCAACTGATTATGTAAACAGTAACAAGAAAGATGTTCTCACAGTGTCTAAATGGCAATTGAAAGCTTTAAGCAACTAGTGGAACAGCTCTACAAGGAGCCAGTAAATGGACAGTTTGAGGATTGTACAAAAGAAGTGCTACCTGGAGTGGAGACAGAAAGCAGTAGTGATGAAGAGGACCAGAAAATTACCACAGAATAATTCAAAATGATTGTTATAAACGTGTGTAATGGTAATAAAGTCGCTTTTTTAATTATTGACGTAATGTGACTCACTTAATTTTCACGTCATGTTAATTTCGCGACATTTAATTTTCGCGTTTTTTTTTTCAATCGCGAAATACGCGAAATTAACGCGTCGCGAAAATTTCATGTAATAAGGTAAGTGAAAACGTGTTCTGGAAATCAGAATAGCAGCTCAAAACTAGGCCAAATGTAAAGTTATAGAACACTAAGGTTCATATGAATATTGAGGAAGTTTAAACATTTATAAAAGTTGAATTGGCACCCCTATAATATTGTACACTCCAATTTCCTTACCAGTCACCCTATTGTGCTGGAACTCATGCGGTTGTTCAAGATAGGTGATATGCTATTCTCATTTCTAGACAGATCCAGGATTTTTTTGAGGAAAATTGCTTAAGAACGCGAAAATGTATCGCCTTCTATTTTTCAAAGATCTTAGGTGTATCCCTAAACAAGAGCTTATTTTGCAGCTCTTAGAGCATGGCTAGGCTTAATTATCAGCCGCTGATCGGGAAAGGAGCCCGCGCTCCTCCCCCGAAGGCAGGCGAGGAATGTACATCGGACTCGAGAGAGCGCCGGAAATCGAGCCTTACTGCATAGCTTGATGTGAAACAAGTCCTGCATTCCATGTGCATCTCAAAACAGAAACTGAAATTTGTTGGGGTGGTTAACCATGTCTTAGATAGCAGGGATCACAATTTTATGACTTCAATGAGTAGACATTGACTCGGCAATTTTCGTGGTAAAAATTCATAGAAGTCTATCAAATATACACAAAGTTACGACGTTGCGTGCCAAATTTGGCACTCTTGGGCAGTTGATCTTTTTTTTAACAAAGAAAGAAGCACTTGGCAAACGCTCCGTTAGTAACCTACTTTAGTTATGGTTGCCTATCACTCGAGCTTGAGTTATTTCGACCACTTGATAGGGGCTGGTTCATTATGAAAATGACTAAGTTGAGGATAATCAACGGACAAAAACGACAACATGTAACTCGCTTTGAATTCTTCACTTTGTTTATTTCTACTTTGCAGCTACTTATTATTATTAAACACAAGTAAATCAGTTTAAGCATCGTTAATTAGAACTGCTCTGTTTCAATTTTACCAAAGGTTAAAAACAATCACGATTAACCCCCCCCCCTAGCCAGAAGAACTACTGCATAAATTACTTGACAAGTGTATTGTGATTCAGTATAATAAATTAAAATAAATAATTATCAAAATAACTTCATTCCAAATGTCAAGCACTACGCAAATAGCTCATTCTGTAATGGAGGCTGATTTTAAATGTTTAAATCGATTGTACCCTAGGAAAGCACTCATCTCAATTTAAAACGAGAAGATTTATATTTAATTTTCAAGAGCGAAGTACTTGATTGTACCAAAAAAAGATGTTCCTTTCATTTAATCCACGAATTAAAAGAATTGAAGAATCAAGACTAACAGAAATAATTGTCTCAGTTTACCAAAGTTTAGAAAAAAATTCAAGATCATTCAAGTTTCAATCTTTAACTATTCACAACTTTTTTTGGTTTTCCAAATTTCTCGGCCAGTCAAAGAGCAAAGTACTCGCACGTCCACGTCACTCAGACTAGCTTAGTTTTGATTGGCCAAGAAATGGATCCAACATGGAGTTTTCTAAATAATGTCCTGGAGATATCAAAATTAATCAGAAACTTCATCAAATTGCAACAGTTCTGCAAGTAAAGCTGCATTAAACAACTACATTTTAAAGCACGCAGACCCTACAATTAATAAAAGCGCTTAACTGTTAGGAATTGAAGCCATTTTCCTGGACAAAAAGCCTATAAGATTTGATCTTGAAGCAGAATAACAGGTTGTGCCTGCACGACCTGTCATTCAATTTTCACATGCACGTGATAAACCATTGTAAGGAGGTCTGTGATTGGTCCAGTTTCTCACAACACGTGATTTATAGCTGACCAGCAGATCACGTGAGGGACGAGCAATTTTTTTTAATTCCAGGAATTGATGTTGTTTTATTTTCATTATTGCATATTTCAAGCCCTAATGACAAAGCTATTTCTCAAAAATTGTAGTTAATGGCTGGTTATCAGCGCTATTATTCGCGTTTAATTTCAAACTACCTAACATTTAATATTTTATTTCTATTAAAGCGTACGTTTTAAGGAACTATTACAAGTTTATACAACAATATAGCAATTTAAGAGTACAAATAACAGTTTACTTTACAACGTTTGTAGTCTTTACACGGGTTGGAAATATTTTTGAGGCGAGCTTTAAGTGGCTAAATAATTTAATTCTGTGGAAGTACGTAGAAAGCTGGCGTTGATTGACGTTTAAGCTGATTCTTCTGAAAAGAGCAACAAAGAGCATAATAAAGAGGAGAGTTAGGATTTTATATTTTAAGAATAAAAAGCTGGATTTAAAAAATTTTATCGAGAGTGGATTTATTTAATTAACGAAGCATAATAGATCATCTAAGGCAAAATAAGTCCAGACAATAAAAATAAACTGTTCTTTCCCCCTCTCCATGTTCCTGTTTATAGAGTTTAGCTACGGAGACGTCATTCCCAAAACAAAAGGTCTATTCGGTTTTGGAGAAAAGTCTTTTCAATTTGATTGCATGGGGCGGGTGGGTGTTAGGAGCGTGTGAAACATTTTAAGGAGACTTGCATGATCAACTTTTTTAAGTGGTTTCATACCAAGTCGTTTAGGTAATTGTAAGTCAGTTCATGGATGAACTTGCATTCCCAGCTACACTCACCACTTTCAGCGTCTAATGTTATTGAGTCCGAGATAGGACTGGGGCGACTGATGCCGATCTCGTTGTTCGCACTGACTCTGAACTGGTATGTGGCGCCCGGCGTCAAGTCGTCAATCAACGTGCTATTTCCCGCCACAAATGGCACGGCCGCCTGCCACACGCTCACTCCAGTCTCCTTGTACTCCACCGTGTAAGCTAAGATCTGCTTTCCACCGTCGAGCAGAGGTGGTTCCCAGTGAAGCACAAGCGAAGATGACGTCATTTCTTTGACCAAAGGTTTTGAGGGAGGTTCGGGAACACCTGTAAAATGACAAGGATTTATTGCCGGCACAAAACTACAAACTCCAACTCACCACTCAGGGGAACAAGATCAATTTAAGTCAGTTTTCGTCTCGCGGTTCCTGAGCCATTATGGCGTCATCAGTTAAAATGCTTTTATCGCAGTTCAAAATCAGGTGCTTTTCACCACAATAAGGCAATAACACAATAAGACCGAGAAATCAATTTACACCATTTCTAGGCCCTGGTCTGGGCTTTGCCTCCGACTGCATGTTTATGAACGAAACAAAACCTGAATTTTTGGACTCTTATAATACAACTGGTAGTCTCTTTTGCAGCTGTGGGTCACATGACCCAATCCACACTAAAATGAGAGGCGACGCCTAAAAAAATAGAAATGGAGATTCCACGACTGACAATTTTGAGGACACTAAATTTATTACACTTCAAAACTGATAACCTTAAAATTAGCGCTCTTTTAATTCAAGCTATGCATTTAAATCGTAGCCCATAATTTTAGCGCGAGGCAGGTCATGTGATCCCCAGAAGGGGCTGGGTCAGAATCAATTCCTTTTACCTAGAACGGCCACATAAGCTGAGCACGTGATACGGCGTGACCCGCACGTGACAGAACACTTGTAGTGACCTGTGTCAGAGGTCTCTGTTGGCGTGATGTCCAACGCCAGTGAGCATCCGTCGTTAACTACCGTGATATTGTCATAAGTTTCTATGCAGTGCTGATTCTTAGTCCAGGTTACCGTGAGGGGGTGGGTGGGGAACGATGATAGTTTGCACTGGAGCCGTAAATGATGGCCGCTTTTGACAGTGACGTCATGGAGAACTTGGCGGAAGGCTGGCGGCGTGAAAGTCAGAACGTAGTGCATGGTTAGTTGCGTTAGTCATGGAATAAATAAAATAAAATGTAAGTAAATTAGCTTTAATTAAAGGATATTAAAAGAAAAGCACGCTCCCCGTTTTCGACTTAATTCATCAGCCTGATTTTCCCATCGGTATAAAACCATTACATTACAAGCCAGCTCCTGCTACCAATCGCTCAAGTTATTGATTAATCTTGGATGTATAACTGTGTTGGTTTTCAAAAGTCTTCAGCCAATCAAAGAGACAACGACCACACGTGCGATTTATCATCAACAAGTGGCGACTTAGACATCTCCGCCTCAAAGACTAACTTGGTTTTGGATTCGTTAAGTAATAGGAAAATCTGACGTGAAGATGTAAAGTAAAATGATAAAACTTTAATGATTCGTAACTGCAGTGCGTACATGGTAACATTCACTTCCACATGACTTGAGTCGTTCTTAAACAGTTTCGTACCAAAAGTTGGTTAGTGAGGCTTACTCGCTTTTAACTTTCAAAACATAAGTGAAAAACAAGGTTTCTAGCTTTGTTGGTGTAAATGGAACATAAGCCGAACCGACAAAGCTTAAGACTGACTGGGGTAAACAATGTGCTTTACGTTAAATTGTGTTAGAAATTGCATTAGAGATTTTTGCGTGCTTAGTGCTTTGTGCTGTCCTTAACGAATACCGTTTAAATTAAATCGCGAATGAAGAACGCAGAAGTTGTTATGAGTAACTAAGAGAACGTATGTATACTTGTATGACAAGATGTATCCTGTGGTTTGGCTTTTAAAGTTTATCACAGAGTAATTACTGTAAAATACTCAATTGGTACGTACTGATCTCGGAAGGGTTTCCTTTCTGATTCTGAAAAGAAAGAAATGTAGTAGAAATTAGTTTCTGGCTTTAACTTTAGAGGAGAAAGAACACTTAAAATTAAAGCAAGCCGCTATAGAAATGATGGGGGAGCAGGGATGGCGCAGTGGTGAGACCGCTCGCCTCCCACCAATGTGGCTCCGCGGGTTCGATTCCGGCCCGGTGACATATGTGGGTTGAGTGTGTTGTTGGCTCTCGCCTTGCTCCGAAGGTTTTTCACCGGGTTCTCTGGTTTTCCTCCCTGCACAAAAACCAACACTTCAAATTCCAATTCGACCAGGATAGAGGACCTGCATGAAAACCAGATAAGGCTGATGTGGCTTCCTCTCTAAATATTGTAATTTAAATGCCAATAAAAAATGTTTACCGTTGATGTTGCTGGAACATCTTCGTTTTCTTGGTCGTTTTCAGACGTCAGTTCGGTGCGATATTTATCTATGTTCTGTTTTATTTTATTGGAGAATGCATTGAGATACGAATCTTTCTGTTTCTTCTGTGCACGTCGTGCTTTGTCATCACCCCTGTAAAACAAAACCGAAATTTCGTTCAGCCTTATAATAAGTCTTTGACTGACCGAAAGATGATATTGAACAAAGATTTTATTTTCGCTTGCTCGTCACTAGACTCCTGGCAGTCTGTTTTTCTCTGGAAATCAGGCAGGCGAGACATTTCAGACTAGAAGGGATTGGGACGAGACATGATCGGTGAGGCACTCGCCCCAACCCCTTTCGTCCCAACCGCCCTTTTAATTGCGTTCGTGTTCACGGAATACTCGCCTGACCCTGATCGAAAGGACTGGCTGCCAGCGTCGACCTCGTCACGCAAATTTGCGTCTGCAAAGATTGGGTTACGAGCTGCACTGGGTTACGAGCTTCACTTCGCCGCTTTAGAAACGAGAAGAAACCAATAGACATTCGTGTCTCACAGTCGCTAGTGAAACCGTTCCTGGGGACAACATGGCTTCTTATCCTTTCTTTTGTCTCAGTAATGGTCCCATGAACGACTGCAAGATGATATATATTGGCTCTAGAATTCTTCTCGTTTTTAAGTGACCAATAAGATCGGCGTATGAGGTTAGCAGACCGTTACGTTATGTTTAGTCACGTAAGGAAGAATCACGTTATTGTGGCTTTTATGTTCACCCGCCATTTTCCCCGTGATAAATAAATATCATGATGGCGGTACAAGAGAGGATTACCAGACACGATTTGTACGCTACACGAACGAATATTACGATGTAAAATAACTGGTTGTGCGTATGGATGATTGACACGGTTAGAGTAGCGCGTTAATGTTAGTGTTAATGCGGACACCGTTGGAATCCCTAATCAAGACCATTAAAATGAAGCTTTTTTTACTTATTATTCCTTTTGCGTATCCTGTAGACTCAATGACTTATTCTCAACACTTGTGAAGCTTGCGACAGCCAATCAAATATAAGATATTATCTTTCCAGCCAGTCAGGAGAAACCCAAGACCAGTTCCCGCGCTTTGTTATCGATTACAAGTTTTCCCGCGCTTGTCGCCGGTTGCATGGTTTCTCGCGCTTTCCACCGACGACGCGCATACGCTTTGCGCTGTGATTGGTCTATTCCTCTTTTTCCGCAGTTACGATCGGCTGAAACGATTCGCAGTTAACGATTTTAAGGTTGCCTTTGACAGGATCCCAGCGGTGTGTGGTTAATATGCACGATTAGGCAGGAAAGCGAATGTTAAACATGCAACAGCTCACTTACGTATTAAAACTCCGATGTCGTGTAATAGACGGTAGAATCTTCTCTTTACCCTTTTTAGCCATTCTGGTTCAAAACAACAAGCCACAGTTTTAATTCATGCACTGCAGCTAGTTCTTTGAAAAGCTTACTAACTACAAACTGCTTTTAAATCCCTACAGGAGTAAACACTTGACCCAACCTCGTTCCAAAGGTATTTGTTCTCGCGTCCTGGAAACGAGCTTAACCTCCTTCTAGTTTACCTCGTTTTGGAGATGGAGTTTGAGGAGATACCGTGGAACCAAAGTTGATCTATGTTTTAAACTACATCTAAAGCTTAAATAACAGCAGTTTAAGCCCATGGCTCATTTAATTTATTCGTATTACTTTAAAGCAGCACTTAAGCGTTTATGCGTTTTATTTAATCCATGCCAGTCCACACACAGCAACTGATATTATTTTCATTTCACACTCAAATCGTTTCGTCTAACGATGTGCGTTCTTGACACCAGCAATAGCATTCTTAAGCATACACTAAACAGACGAATTTGTAACAGCATTATTGTACTAGCCCTTTACACCGCCCCTCAACATCTCTTTGGTGTTTTTCTATCTTAATAAACTATTATTTTCAGGTTTATTCAATTTAAGGGTTATTTTGTACGTGGCTAAAAAGCTGTAACTCAAAATGCCATAAAGTCCCATAACCTTTTTCTCTTTCAAACCCAAGGAGAACACAACCTTTTTCTCTTTCTAACTCAAGGAGAATCATATTGATCAACTAGGTCGCTTGCTAAGCTTTGGGATGAAAAGCTATCAAAATATATATTGTTGGAACGTTTATGAAAGAGTAATGAAACTATGTCCCTTGGGCACCACCAGTACGCCAGGGATCAGGGATCATAACATCAGGTCTTAACATTAATTCTCCCTACAGATTGCTATACATTTCTTACAATTTCAGTTCTGAGAGTTTGGTCTCATATCTAGACAATGTATCTCAGTTGATGATTTTGTTTATTCCCATAACCTCCTCCTTGATAATGTATTGATATTGTAAGGAGAGTTTACAGGATGGTAATAACTTTTTGTCAAACGAAATGAGGGTTTACTTTAAGTTGGCGTTAAACCGCTTTCAAAATAAATAAACAAAATAGCAAAATAACATCACAAAACGAGGACTTACGTAAAACTCTCATGCCTTGAAACCTTTTTCCTTGAAAACGTTCTGAACACGAACCAAAACAAGGAAAGTCAAAAACTCGTGATAAGCATGCACTAACAAAATACACTTAACTGAACTAGGGTAGAAAATATCAAAAGCAGCTACGAACTTACCCAGCCGTTTTCTTGGGAGAGAGCGGAGTGTCTGAATCTGGAAATAAACAAATAAAAAAAAAGAAATATGAGAAAATGTTTGTAACGCAATCCTTTTTTATCTTCCCCATCGTTAGTCACCTTCACTTCCTAACATGTTCTTATCATTTCTAGAGTACTGTTCTACAAATTCACACCATTATTTTTCCTGTTATCTAACTAATTCTGCTGCCTCCGTTTTCAAGTTTGTTCAATTACAATCCATTTCCATCCTCGCCATCTCAGTCATCTTCACTTCCTAATAGGATCTTGTCATTTGTCCAGTGCTGTTCTACAAAATAACACCATTACTGTAGAGTTTTCTGTTATCTAGCTATGATTTCTGCCTCGTATTTTTAATTCTGTCCACATTACAATCCATTTCCATCCTCGCCATCTTTATTCATCCTTGCTTCCTAATGTCTTCCTATAATTTATCCAGCACTGTTCTACAAAATCACACCATTATGGTTCCTAAAATCTAAATACGCTTCCCGTTTCCAAGCTTTAACTATTTATATTGTTATGGAGAAAAAACACAAACAAACAAACCTTCGACGTTATTGTTAGCTTCTTTTCTGAGAATCTTGGCGGGCACAAGTCCGAGTTTGTCGGCGGTAAAGTTACAAACATATCTCCAATTCTTGTCGTGTTTCTTGTTAGAGACTAGGTACACCACTTCACCTTTCTTCACAGAAAGATGGTCTTTATCTTTAGACTTGAAATCCTCTAGCACCACGAAACGTTCTTTATTACGCTGAAACAGCACAAATGCGTTACTGTTAGTCACGCAATGATAGTCACACAATAGGCAACAGTTCACCCATCACGCAACAACTGAGTGCATGGCACCTCCACCTGTCACGCTTCGTAGCGGTAGTTTCGCTTTGAGGGTTGTGGTTGACGATCTGGTGTTACCCTCTGATTTTCCTATTCAAGAATTTTTTTCATCTATTTGCGGCGTCTTAAATAAATGTTATGTTAAAGGCGCTTGTTTACAGCTTCGTTATTCGCGACACTAACAGTGAAGGACTTTTTGACTTTCTACAGTTAGGGTGAAATAAGCGATTAGTGGTACAGCATGCACCTAACATGTAAATTAAATGGATAGTTTCTTACTCGAATGAAAGGAAATGGTAAAAGCATAAATTGCTGAAAGAAACAGTTAATCTAACGTCGGTAAGTTAGGACCAAAAAGTCATTCAGTTTACAGGGCCGTTCTGAAAACCACTTTATGTGAGATCGCCCCCTGTATAAATATTATTATCATTATCAGTATCAAAGAAGACGAAATGCGAGTTAAAGATTAATAATCAGTAATTACAAAGTTATTGCTCACCGAGGCAGTTGGGAAAGGTGACGTGAGATCTTCCAGAGACTGAGCAGTCTCGAGGGCGATGAGATTCATGTGTTTTAGACGATTGGTTGGACTCGAAGCGACTGGTATCTACAGAAAATAACATGAGTAACCTAAGACTTCTTAATGGTAAGAGTAGTGGCAGTTAGGGTAAAACAAGCGATTAGTCGTCCAGCATGCACTTAAAATGTAAATTAAATGGTTGGTTTCTTGCTCGAAGGTAAGGCAATGTTAAAAGTATAAACTGCTGAAAGAAACAGGTAATTTAATGTCGGTAAATAAGGTTCAAATAGTCATCCCAACCTTTTCAGTGAAATAAGGAGAATACACATCATAGGAAATATCTTTTTTACGCTTCAACGTTCTCTTTTAATCGTCTCTCAATTCCTCGTTACTTTGTTGAAGTCCCGTCAATGTAGATAGCCGCACAGTGAATGAAACCACTTTTGAAAGTCTTCCTGCTTCGTGATTCGTACAACATGAAGTCAAAATTAACACCAACGCAAGTGAAAGACAATCTCACATTGATTTTTAAACTATTCCGGTCCAACAATCGCCATGTTAGCGAAGCTTCTGAGCGCCCAAGCCGTGCTAGCGGAGCACCATGGGTCAGGAAATTTTAAACATGATCCCCAAGCGGTATGGGATCATTTCTTACCTGTGATGGTTTCTTCAAAGAGCCGGTGTCAGGAAGGCTGAAGCTGTGCGCGCGATTAGCTGACGTTGTCATTGGTAGAGTAGTGCTGCTTGATGGGGTCACCTGACCTTGGGTCGTGACAGGTCCCCCGGGAGTTAATGCTGGGGGGCTGGGGAGAGAGAAAAGAACGTGTCTATCATTTTCTGAGGCTTGGGCGATCTTTTGAAGTCCTGGACGATCTATGAAAGTCTTCTTTTAGTAATGCAAACGAACATAAAAGTTACCACGAAAAATGTGCTTGTTATTTGCTTGTTGGTGTTTTCCATTTTCCTTCAATTCTCAACTTGACCACTGCTCTTGCGTGAAAAGGTTAGTATAAGACGTTGTAGCCCTAGTAAAGAATATTTCTAGTTAAGAGTATCATTTTACTCACATGCCGTTGGCTTGCTGTTTCTGATATTCGATTGGTCTTTCTAAAGCTGTGAAAAAGATTGTGAAACAAGAGTAAGAATATATATTTTTCTTGCGCAAGAAACCAGTCATTTTCCCTTTAATACCATTGTTTAAGAGTTTTAAGAGGTAATTTTTTCAAGGAAACGTCACTTTAAAAGTACTCTGAAATTTAGCAAAATTTTAAAATAAATAAGTTATCTGGAACACTAGTTCAACTAGATTACCTCCAACAGGTTTAGAAGTTAGGAATGGAGATTTTTTTATCAGACCTATTTGTTTTCAAATCACATTATTTTCACAACTGAACTCGATAAGATAACATACGATTATTGACTCTGGGGGTTATATTAATGTGTTCATAATAACTGAAATCGATAAGATAACATACGATTGTTGACTCTTGGGGTTATATTAATGTTGAAGGTTCAAAGTCGACATTAACCAAAAAGTTGAAAATTTTGATTATTTATATACTCTTGAACATTTTTAACCTGCATCAAATTGACAAATGGCTTCCACTGATATCTATACTGAAATGTTTCAACAAGTCGGTTTAAATTTCTTTCAACAAGGCGGTTTAAACTTTAGCTCTTTACTTTCTTTCAGCTTAATTTAAATGTTTAACTTTTAATTTCAAACCTTTGGTTCCTTGGTTTAACATTTGATCAGCTTCAGTTGATTCTGTGTTAAACAGTTAAAGCAAAATTACAAACAAAGCAAAAAATAGGCACACAAAGCGTGCATGTGGAGTAAAAAACACTGCGGTCAAGACTCGTCTTATGTTTTATTCATACAGGGTTCAAAGTTTGTAGGCTTCGATACGTTTATACCAAGCGACGTAATGAAAAAATATTCGCAACTTTCTTGAAACCATCAGAAACTGCGTTCATTTTTACAATCACTTTAAAGAGAGCAAAAAAAAAACAAAACAACAACAACAACAACAACAACAACAACAACAAAAAGACTCCAGGGAAATTCAAAAGCTATTGAAAGATAACCTGTGAAATTCAAGCTCTAAGTTGAACAATCACCCGCCACATTAGAGAAACATTTTTAAGGTTTTAAGAACCTTTATGACGAGTCTTTTTTATGGGTCTTACACATTTGTAAACAGAACACCGTTTCATAAACTTCTCAAAGGAAACTTCGTAGATTTTCTCAAATCTACAAATTCTCCTTACCTATAGCGAACGCGTGCTGTGACTCTCGAAGCTTCTTCAACGCTTGTAACCAGTCCTTCTTCTTCTCTGCCGAGCGCGCGGTCATGGTGAAGATGGCCGCGTCGGGATCTGAGCCGGTCCAGATAGCGAACGACAACTGATCATCACCCACCCCTTCCATGTAATGCATATGATTCACCTATAGCAACACAACGGACGATCATTAAACCCCATTAACATTGAAAACTTTCCCAAGAACAACCTGTCCCAGAAAAGTATAGCTTATGATCTCGAATTTGTGACATCACAGTGGCCATACTGCTGAACAAAAAAATGAAATTTAAATTTCTCGGAAATTTTCCATTTGTTTTCGGAAATCTTGGGAGGATCTTCGGAGACGTTCGGGAGGCCGATTTCAACACTAACATTTCTTACTCTGTTTCTGTGCTCTATTATGGTCACTGTGCAAACCATCAATTTAAAGGAGCTCAGTCACGTTATTTTGACCACGTACAAAATTACCTTTAAATTGAAGGAAACCTGAAAATAAAAGTTTACCAAGATAGATAAACACCAAAGAGATAATAATAAACCACAAAGGAACAAGCATGGCTAAGGATGGAAAAGATTAACACGGATTACAAACGACATACTTGAAAAATTTAGAGTTAATTATTCATGATACGCAAACCGTGAGGTAGTTCCTTTAAGAATTACCTTGATACTATGTCTGTAGATGTACACTGTCCAGTCCTTCCTCCTCTCAAAAGGTTCACTGAAGATCATAAGCTGCTCAAACAGGAACACCTGTCGCTTGCATGGCTTACGAGTCTCGGGGTCGGCTACAATCAATGTGTCCTGAAAATGAGAGAACTAAAGTTTAAAACGAGGGAGGAAAAACTATGGCAATAGAGTTGAACTCGACCCGAGAAAGGTATACCGGCAGTAGAAGTGCTCAAAAATCTTCGCGAGATCTTCGGAGACAACTCGGTACACGAGCCCATCTATGAAAAGTATTTCGGGAATTGCCGAACAAGTTAGCGATACGGTTGCTGATTTGCCGCAAGAACAATCAGAAACTTTAAGTAGTACGTTAATTCTCGACGCAGTAGTAAGGGTTGATATTTGTTCGGCTTAGGCAGGGACAAATTGTTTGTAACACAGTTAACAATCGCATAAAAGGACAACATCCAATCACTTTGACAGAAATTACCTGCATAATCAGTTGGCCCTGAGCTGCAATCTTGCCCTGGAGAAGAAAAGATGAACACCGTGTTAAATCAAAATTACTTAAAATTAAGTTGAACCACCTACGCCTACAAAAATTCGTACAAAAACACGCTTATTTTACCGTGTAACCCTCCAGCATTCCAACATTCATCATGTCATTAGCTTTCTTTGGCACAACGTACATCATGTCCAAAGCTTTCTGCAAACATTAATAAAAGATAAAAGCATTACTTTCACAGATTTGTTAAATCCTCAAAGATGGCGATTGGACGATTTGTAACCAGACAGGACTAGCACCGACCTTCAGTTCAGTAGTGTCCAGTCCCGCTTTGGCGGTGTACTTGACAAAGTCTTTTAGGAGCAGTTGGTACTTCATGATACGTTGAACCGGTTTAATCAGGTAATCCTCGATTCCAAGCCGGTAACCAAGACGCTCTGCGACTTCCTGAAGGAAACATAATAAAGCATATCTTGACACAAGATCATTGACTGGTGTCTAAATTTTCCGAACCCTTTAACTAGAAAGTACAAGCCCATAGATTGTGAGAATGACTAACGTGATAGCCTCTTGAAAATAGAGCGGTTTTCAATCGACTGTCGCAAAACCAAAACCACAACCAAACTAATTGTCCAATTACTTTCGACACTCAGTTGAAAACCGCTCTAATCAGGACAAAACCAACTCACCGCAAAATATGTCTCGCGGAATTCGTGGACGAGAGTCATGGATTTTGGTTTATTTTGGCAGTAGAAAATGTAAAACTTGAGATGCCGCTCCTGATAGAAATAACAAATAATATAAATTAATCAGAGATTTCAACAAGGAGGACAGAAAACAGCCCGCACGCACTTCGTGATTTTGTGTGCACTACCGTGGCCAGTGTTATAAAGTTAGCTGCTTTAAACTGGGTTCCTCTTCGATATTGCACGTGCTTCAGTGGGTTGATTTGAAAAGGTTTCTTTCCGTGACCATCTGTGAGCGAGCTACACGCGCACTGAAATGGTTTTAATACAAAACAGGCCTCTTTAAACTGGGTTCCTCTTCGATATTGCATTTCAGTGGGTTGCTTTGAAAAGGTTTCTTTCCGTTACTTAATCTGTGCACAAACTTCACGTGCACTAACAAGGTTTAACTTTTACAATGTGTTGAATCAACAGGATTTAATTGTTTTCGTCATTAGATCACCCGCTTTGCCACTGAAAGCAGCACGCACTCTTATGGCGACATTCCAAGGAACTTCACACTGATTGAGTACCAGTATTATGATGCAAACTTACAGAGCTTAGGAAACAAGACGCCAGCTTCTCAGGAGCATCTTCGCATTTCTCGAGTTCCTTGCAAAATTTACTGTTAAGAGAAAAACAAAAGAGATAAACGTTAAATTTCTATCAAAAATAAAGCGGCATATAAAGTAAAGTCGCTGGTTTGTTCATACTTACTTCTTATGCCACTCGTAAATTTGTTGTATATTGCCAAACAGCACTCGAGTTTTTCCTTTCAATTCTTCGGGTGTCTCTGGTTTGGCAAGCTCTACAATAAATCCCTGTAAAAACAATGTCAAACAAAACGTCGTCAATTAACTACGCAATTGGAATAGAATTTAGATTTTGTGAATCTACAATCTGAAATGCTCACCTCTACTACTTCACCAAGGCTTTTGACGTAATCTCTTTCTGTTTGAAGAAGTTCCTTCAACACAAATCTAACGGAGAAAGAAATCGGGACAAGATAACTTTTAGTCGTCTACACCTTTCTCTCTACCTTGAAACTACAGAACCACACGATGGTCTCCTTGAACAACCCTTAAACAAAGGCTAAAATTACCAGAAGTAACAAACACTCACGTTCTTTTCTTGAGCGCTACAGCTTCAGGATCTTCCTGCTCGGGGACTGGGGCCGGCGTCACATCGCCCTCAGCTTCCTGTTCCCCAGTCTCCTCTTCTTGTACTTGTTCTTGATCCTCGTCCACTTCCTGTTGAGGGTCCTCCTGATCTGCAGGATCCTGTCCCTCCTCTTCTTCCTCTCCCTCCGCTTCCTCATCTTCCAGCGCCTTCTCGCAGTTATTTTCAAAGTCTTCCTCCTCGTCTTCGTCATCTTCATCATCTTCGTCATCGCTCAGATGGAGCTTCAGCTCTCCTTCGCTTGTGGACTGTTGCACTGGCAAAAAAGCTGTTCCTCCCGATTCACCGGAATTATTAGCATCTCCCAGCTCCTCTGGTATGCTCTGAAGAAAACAAAAAATCGTTACGAACTGGTTCAATAACAACTTTCTCCTTGCAATTTTCACACAAAATCAACAGCACAGGTTATGAGATTAACAAAACCAACGAGAAAAACCTAACTGAGAAACGTGGTCTAAGATAAAGTCTGCGTTCGGGCACAGCGGCCCATCGGACCTCCGTACATCTCTGGTTTCTACAGGGTAGGGCGACGTAGTATTTCTACTGCCCCCCCCCGCTGCACCCCTCCGCATCCGCCCTTGGACGGGAAGCTTGTCTATGGCAGGGTTTAACCCCAGCACTCATTTATATACAAAGGCAATGGAGTTTAAGGCTCTCAGTGACGGTATTTTGAGTTATTTTGGCCATGTACAAAATTACCCCTAAACTGACAGAAAACTGAAAGTAGTAGTTTACTAAGATGGAAAAACACCAAGGAGATACCATAAAGGAACAAGGCTGGTTAAGGATGGAGAAGATTAACACGGATTACAAACGACCAACTTGAAAAATTTGGGCTTAACGTTTTCCGATGCGCAAACCGTGACGTAACCCCTTTAAGTATTACATTTACAAAGCAGTCAGTAAGATCGTGCACGGTAACACTAACACTTACTCTATGCGTTTGCGTCGACACAATCTCAGCAGGTCTCAACAGCAGGTCAATGTCACTTTCGCTGGCGCCCAGAAGTTGTTGAAGTTTCTTAGATCCACCCCCCGAGGCTTTCTTCGCTACCCGTGTGGGGGTCCCAGGGGACTGATCAGCAACTGGCTTGTTGGTCATTTTCATTTTACTCCATGAACGTTTCCTGCTTTCAAAAATAATTGGAATTCTTAATAATACTCACTTTTAAATACGTGAGAAAACCTCGTCAGTAATGTGATCCTAAAACCCTAGTGTGTGACCATTCAAATGAGAGCTATTGAGCAGTACTTTCATGTGGTACTGTTTATTATACTGTACAAGGTGGTTCTAGCTTTTAAGTCTGTGGATGAAACCCTAGTGTGTGACTATTCCAAATGAACGCTATTTAGCTGTTCCTCCATGAAGTGCTGTTTGTTTTTGAGTATGTATTTTCAGTTAATTTTCAAATTAAATTTCCGGTTTTTTCTTTCCAAGCTTTGCTTTCGACAAGGTTTCAATAGTTCTAAAATAAAAGGCAGTGATATTGATTGCAAAATCCGATTTACGTCTAACAAACTTTTTTTGATCTCCATATTGGATACGCGGCAGCAAAACCATACACGTATATGAAGAGCCGTAATTTTCCAAATATTATCTCCCTAATAACTTCCTTCTCAGAACAATATAGAACTACAGTTTACGCAAAGGTTTTTTTTTCACGCTCCCAATACGGAAAACATTTCGTTGTTCGCCCAGCAACAATACATTACTTACCGAAGAGAGAGTTGGGGGCCCGACCTAGATCGCCTGCGGAGTGGGGGCGAGCCGCCATTGTTGGCCGGCTGGCCCTGGTACCAAGAAGCTGTGGGGCTGTCAGATGAGGACAGGGATACGGAATCTGTGAGAGAACGCATTAAAAATGAGCCTACTGGAAAACGAAACGGATGATTCCAGCGAGGTGGTGTGAAACCTTTCGGTGGGTTCACAAACGGAAGTTTTTAAAAGAGACCCGAGCGTCTTGTTTTAGTTTCAGAAAATGAAAGCCTGGATTCTAAAAAGCAGTTAAGTCACAGAATTCATATTGAAAAACGTTTGCCTACATTTACCAACTATCCTTGCTTTTTTTGGTTTAATAACATCTCTACAATGTTTTTTTTTTTCTAATTTAGCAAAAAAACACTTTCAGGTTTCCTTATGAGGAAGAAGCTTTAAATAAATCCCTATTACTTTGTAAACTGAAAGATATAGTGATATTGATAACACGATACCATCTTATCAAAGAGACACTTAAGGCCACACAAAATGACTTAATATAATATAACAATGGATTAAGATGACGAGACCGTGTGATAAAGCTCGTGAAAGGATTTACTTCGGTTCCTACAGTGAAATGGTCTCTGAACTCTCCATCAAAACAAACACCACATTATCTTACTGTAGTTTCAATGAAATTCACTACACAAATAGATCGATGCCATAATATTTTCTTTTTGCAATAAAAAACAGATAGATTTATTTAACTATAAAAGGAACTAAGAACGAACACAATCTTGCTGTGGACTTTGGAGTTCTCAAGGTTCTTAAAGCAGTTTCCTGTTGTGTGTGCAGTGCATTTCAGTGAAATAGTACTTCCTTCCGATCAGGACCGGAACATTTATTTCACTTGTTATTGCACTATCAAATGTTGTAAAATGATGTTTTCCGTATGTTTGAGCCAACATGAAAAATACATACCCCTAGAAAAACGCCGAGCGTGTTTTCGAATCTTAGTTATTGATGTGCCAAGACAACTTCAAACTATATTAAATATTGCAATTCTTACACCATATCATACTGCCCTAGAAATGTGAAAGTTGACAGGAAAATACTTTAAGTTTTAAATCATTTTAAATCTGACTACAGGCAAACAATGTGACCTTGCTTTAAATGTCGAGAGAATGCTGTGTTTTGTACGTAAAAAAGAGACTAACTGGTGGACACAACGCAATCCTGTGCACGACGAGAAAGTCTTAAATATTGACGGACAAAACCGAGACGTAATAAAAAATCGATATTTTTTTTCCGCCTTCCCTTACAAAGAACCGCCATAAGATGGACAGGAGGCAGATCAAGATGATTTCATGGCCGTCTGAGGAGGTGTGCTAATTATAGTTCGTATAAATTTGATGAAGCCAATATCTTGACGCACATTAGTTATCTTTAATTCCCGAAGCAATTTTCGCGGCTCATATTAAGACAACAGACTGTCCCTAGCGCTTATCTACAAATGCTGAACAAATGTTGTTTACCGTCTCCAATAAGCAGATATTAACTGGAAAACGGCGAAAATAGCACGCTTAAAGTTTTGCGACGTATTCCACAATGGAGAGAAAACACTGGCTTTGAATAGCTTTGCCGTAAAGTGATGAAAGACAACACAGATTTTTTATTTCGCATTCTGACATGATGTAGACATAAAAATCATGCAAGTGGAAGTCATGAAACGCGAAAAAACCTCTGCCAAGAAAATGCCGTGTAGAATGGTTATTTTGATACCTAACCACAAGAAATCTTGTATCAATGGCAATTTTAATTTGATTAAGTATTTTAGTGGGAGGGAAACTACAAACACAAAGGGAAAGCGTAAACAGAAGGGCATCTCGCGACCTCTGTCTGCCATGACACATTCCGAAAACTCCGGTATTCATGAATAGCCGAGTATTGGTTTGTTCAATTGTTGTTTCGAATGAAAACATGAACAGAAAAATTGTGCAAAGAAAGAACAAAGAACAGGGAAACAAGAACGTCCACAAACAAAACCCACTTGTTGGGAAGATTGTACTCTTGTCTAGTTTAAACATTACTTTTGTGTTCTGTTGTTGTTCAAGGCAAGATGAAAGTCAAAGTCAACAATGCACAAAGCGAAACGCTGAGACCAAACTATCAGCTTGTACATCAATGAAAAATCGAAACCCTTCCCTTTGGAAATAACAGTTTGTTAAATTAAATTGTACATGGAATTCTTTGTGAAATACACATTTAACAAGCACGCAACACAATGAACAAAGAGTGAGCGAGAGATTCGCAACACGATAGGAAAGTCACACGATGCAACAATAGATCACAATACGAAGAATACTTCGTGTTCCCTCGACTTACCTTCGCTACTCGAGTGAGAGATCTCCGAATGCCGCTTCTTTTTCGGGTCGCGTTCGTCAGAACGCTTCAGCGCATTATGCGGGGCCCATCCTTCAGCCGGATTCAATCCTTCGCTCAACAGCAGGCGAACTCTCCACCGCGAGCTGCCATGTGGCTTGACAAGAACCTCGACGAGTTGACCCTTCTTTAGCGAGATTTCTTCGTCGTTGGCCGCCTTGTAGTTCTCCGTTACTGACCAGACGTTATCGTTGAATTCAAGCACCTTAGTAAAAGAGAGTAGTTTAATCGGCGTTGCAGGATAAATGACCCAAGGCACTTTTTGCTTAAGCATGATCTCGTATGCTAATGCAAGCTAATGCGCGCGGGACCCGAACTTTTTGTATATGCGAGTTATCAAAATACGTCACACTCCACTGCATCGGTATGGTAAAAACGCGTGATGTTATCAAGAGATCCTATGGTGCTTAGAAAATCGTACAGTTGCTCTGTACAAATTAATAGCCTTATCACTTCTAGCAGAGGCCAAGTTCAAAATAGAAGTAGAAATACCCAAATTTCACTTTGCAAAGTGCCGGGAACAAAACTGCACCACACAAAGGACCTTCCAATTAGCTGTCGTTTGAATGGTCACACACTTTCGTTTCATCCCGATTTTACAGTTAGAACAACATCAGTCGAGTGAAAGCTTTGAACTGGCACTTAAAATGAACCAATGGAATTACTGTTATCTCTAGCTCCCAACCTTTCTTCCGACTTAAGCCTTAAATTGGTTCGAACCCTTTAACAAACCGCTTAACGAAGCGAAACTCAAGGGCGCTAGAGCTTTTTACTTTTATTGACGTCCACGCTTTACGCGTCTATGAAGACACGAGTATTTAATGAAAAAAATAATTAATTTTACCATCACAAGATACTTGACAAAGTCATGATTTTGATAGTTTAAAGCGGCAAATCATGAAATGCCCGCAATGTGACATGAAATGTGCAATTCGACCACAAAGGTGGAGGTTTATCAGTGGTATTTGACTTGTTTATAGTGAAACCTTTTTCTCCAAGAGCTAAATCTGAAGTAGTATGACTTCAGCACTCCAGGCAATGGATGACGAAATAAAAGCGTGACCATTCATATGAAAGCTATTGAGCAATGCGCGCTTGTAGCACGCGTCGTTTGATTTCGTATTAAAAATTTTGTCTGAGTTTTACTATGTAACTTAAAGTAAAAGGTTAACAAGACAAACAAAAAAAGAAATTTCTAGAGATAAACTTGACGCATGTACGTGCAGTATTCCTCGTTCCACTAAATTCAACGCTCAGCGCAACATCTTAAACACATTGTTGAAGTCGAAATAGCGAGAGCGAGCAATTATTTTCAGACTAAACAATGTAGAAATGTAGACAAACAAAGTCACACAGACCTAAGATTCCATTAGCTGATGCATGTCTATTAATACTCTTAAAGTCAATTGTCTTCACGTAGAATTACATCTCAAGATAGGCAAAACTTCGACATAATCTTCATTTTCAAGCTGACTTCTTCCACTTTCTCAAAGCAAGTAAAGGAAATCTAAAAATTCCTAATTGCAGCACAATTAACACATTTTTGTTAAATACCTAAGTTATTTGTGGGATTTCAACGGAAGTTATCGTTCTTGATGGATATTTGGTCCGTAAACTAAACGAAAATTACAAACTAAACGCGCAATCATAGAAATCGCACAGGAAGCGAAAGTTTCTTTCTGTTATAATTTTAGGAAATAGAAAGAGAGAGAACAAAAGAAAACGTGTTGTTTCGAAATGATCGCGTGGAATAATTTAACATGAACGTGAACCACGGAAACTTTCATCTCCTATCGACTTTCAGCAAACGTGAAACGACTCATTAAACCACGCCAGCGCAGCAGCTTGCGGGCATAACACCGAAGAACGCGGACGACTGAAACACGAGAACAATCAGCCACGTTTTTAAACTCCACACAAAAAAACACAACGCTAAAATTAATACGAAACTCGCAACAGGAACTTTGAGCGAAAATTTTTCCCTGCACTTCAGTTAAATGGAATATAAGTCTGACATTAACCCGAGCAAAGCATAAAATATGACATCATTCACTCAAAAGTTTCGGATTGACTGGATTGACCAAGAAGTTAACAGATTTTTGTTACGTCTGGTCTAAAATAAACCACGAGCCAGTCATTAATATCACTCGAGACCACAGTGTTAAAACACACAGCTGATAAAGTACCCTAATGATATGATAAACGCACAGACACAAGGAAGCGAACTCTCGAACATTTCTAGTGCTGTAATAAGGGAGCAGAGTACAGCAGAGAACAAGAAAGTACAGGTATTCTACTCTCACATTACCTACATATCACAAGACAGTACAAGACAACGACAACCTTTCGCCTCTAGGACAGACAAGCTTTTCAACGCAATGCTAAGTAACTTTAGAATCCACCATAACACAAAGTCACCTTTGATACTGCGCCTTCAGAATATCTGATCATTTGTCGGCCAACAAGCATCAAACCACGACGGAAAATTTCTGCCGCAATTTAAACACGAAAGATAGAGGAAGATTGTAAAAGAAAAAGGACACACGTTACCTTAGGGCCCAAAGTTAAAATCTGCCGCTCAAAAACCAGGGGTAAGCTTGAAAATTTCGGTCTAACTCGACCAATTCTAGGACTATCCATATGTCGACTCATCGATCCAAGATGGCGACCGGAATACTAACAAATTATGACATCCTCATGATAATGATACCTGGGATATTTCACGGTAGCAAAAAACAAATCTCTTATTGCATGTGTCGTCATCGACCCATCCAACTCGTCACGTAGGACAGATGTACAATCCAAGAAAATCCAAAAATTTGTCTCACGCAGTGTTATTGTTTTAAGCTTACGGATGATTGCAATCGCAAAGAAACACACAAAGGTCTTTAGAGCTGAATCTTCTTAAAATTCAACCAATCACTAACAGAGACGCACAGTCGTCAGCGTGACGCGTTGCGTTACGGTCATTAATCATGAAGGGGGAATGATAATTATGAACAGGGCGTAAGAGCACCGCCTGACCAAGATAATCATCTAAGGAGCTTACTTGTAGATCCAGTGTAAGAATCTTATCCAAGACCACTTGGAGATAGCAAAGTCCTCTCAAAATAGTACAAAGTTGCATGCTTAATTTCACGCGTTTATAGAACGCTTGTAAAGGAATGCAACGAGATATAAAATTGTGACCGTCTTCCGGCGTTTCCTGTTTCCAACCCATTCAAAAACCGTGCAGTTTTTCGCAAGAGCACAGCTAAAACGTAGCTAGTGATCGAATTGCAAGCTTAGCAAGCCATATAATCCCAAACATCACGAGATCAAGAAGAAAAGCTTTCTAAAATACATATCATAGTCCAACTGAGGCTAATCCTTCATCTGAACTTCTCAAGTGTGATCAAACTCCAATTTCTCGCAACAATATTAACGCAGCGGTAAGCAGAAAGGTGAGGAGAATAGAAGAAAATGATCAGTCAAGAGATGTTGCCATGATGTGCCACCAACTGCTCAAAGCTCTCATATAATGTATGGCAATCACAAGGCTGAAGGTCCAGCGAGAAAACTATTGAGACAGATGGTAAATGGATCCTAAAGGTTTTCTGGTCTCTCTCCAGCTATTGTTCTTACAGAGGAAAAGTGGTATAGTCCTGAGTAATCCAAGAAATACGATCCTACAATAAATTTCCTCTTCGAAGCATTGATCTCTTATTAGCGGAACTCGGATACGGTAATTTGCACAATCCAAGAATAGGTTTTATACGTTTACAGTGACCAACGGACCTGCTTCCTGTCATTAGTGAGCAAGGTTTTACAACTGTCGTCAGACTGAAACCACAGTAGTCACTGAGTCTATCAGCAAAATGTGGAAAAAATCAACCAAAATTTTAAACAAATTAAAAAAAGAAAAAAAAACCAACAGGCCGCCAGCCAAAACACGTTACTACTTGGCGGTATATGGAGACAACAAGTAACCAGCAGGTGCGGGCGCGTGAGAACATGTCACAGACGGCAGGCGCGGGAAAAAACACGTGGAAAGCGCGGGGAAAACATTTAACAGGCGACCGGCGAGAACTGATTGGCCAAAAAAGACAGGGCACAAACATTGTGTCAATCGCAAACCCATAAAAATTAATTTCAATTACTTATCATGCAGGATAAAAAGTCTTCTAACTCGAGGACAAGTTTAACAGCAGCTCTAGTGCTGAACTCCACATCCCATTTTCGAAAATTTTTTCCTGCTAGTCTTGTCTTGTTAACCCATTATTTAATCGGGAACCTAGTGAGGACAAATTTTACAGAAAATTTTGGCTTTTACGGTTCTAACCTGCGACCATACCCTACCCCCCCCCCCTACATCGAACAAAAAAACCGCCTGATCGCAAGTTATTACAGTTCAGCCAAAGCCCACTCCCGCCCAGCGGACACTTCGCTGTCACGGACATGCAGCGGTAACAGAAAACTCTTCCGCACGGGATTTGGTTTGTATTTCTTCTTGTATTTCAACTGGTCTCACCTTTCCTTCAGGGAAGTTATCAAATTCGCCAGAGATGCTGTCATCTTCAATAACACCACTTTCCCTAGAAGCAAACATAAATTACATTACACTGTACAACACCACCTTCGTATAGAGCGGTTTTCAATAGCCCGTTTCCGAATTGCCTTTTGCCTCTGTGTTAAAACGAGTCTAAGTGGGAAAACATTCTTACAAAAATTGATTTGAAAACTTTTATACAAGGGCTCGTTTTGAAACAGAGGCAAAAGGCAACTCGGAAAATCAAAACCAAAGTAATCACTCTAGCCAATCACAAAGAACAGAGAATATCCAATGAACCAATCAAAACCCCATGCAAACTAATGTTAAAACTTGCGAGTGAGTCACGATAGGTTTTGGTTTTACTTCTAATGGGTTTTGAAAGTGGCGCGAGATTTTTTGTCAATCGCTAAGCATAGTAAAGCAAAACCAAAGCAAATGCGAAGTGTTTTCGATATTCACATCAAAACTGCTTCAAATGGAAAACTCAAGATAACAGTGGTAGAAAAGCAAAACACTCAAGACGTGATGTCATACCAAACAAAGCCAAGGTCAGGGTGGATAAGATAAAGGAAGATAAAAGCGAATAACAAATCCCAAGCTTGAAAAAGTTACGATAAATTTTTCACGGTGTGGTAAGGGCCTACGGTCATACCGGTCAGCAGCTTTCTCCTCGCGGCTCCTGATCGAGGCTGTGGTTGTCACAGAACTCGTTGAGCTCGTCATTGAGGTGGCTGCAAAAAGGCGATAAAAAATTCGTCAGATTGCATTCTGTTTCTAAGCTCGATTTCTCATTTCTAACCATATATGAACACAGTATGCTTCTTAACGTAGCCACTATTTGAAGTTGTCCTTCAGTATTGAAGCATGTTGGGTTGTTATTAAAGTGAACGATTTGTCTGAGACCTTGAGCTACGGTTATTGTGTTATTATTAGCCCAAGGCCTCAGTCGAATCGCCTGCTTAACCAGGCAACAACTGTTGTATACGAAATGTCAAGTGTAGTGTCTTACTTCTCTCTCTAAGCGTCCCAAACTGGAACTGTTGAATAACTTCTCGTAATTCCTTGACCCACAGCTGTTTAGTTTCCAAAGATCTTGCCTGCAAAGGAAATATACATTCAAAACAGTAAAATCTTTAAAGTCAGGAGCGATAATTTCTCGAAAATCATCAATCTTTCTTTCTTCACCTTGATGATGCGCTTGTCCTCGGATTGTGGCGGTTTTCCAGTCCACACGGCAAATTTACATGAGTCCTCGGCGACATGTTCTGTAACACCCAACTCAGGAGTCTACAAAGAAAACATTAAAAGTTAACAAAACTAACAGAAAACAAACTAAGTTAACTGAAAATATACTCTCCCGGGAGAAATTATGGAAGTAAAGTGTCTTCGCTAGAACCAAGACCTCCTGATCCGGAATCTACAGCGCTAACCATTACGAGAGGGTTTTATTCGTCCACGCAGCGTATAATTTAGAGCATATTTACCTTAATTTTGTTCTTGTAGAGATACTTGATTTTGCCATCAGCATCTTTTGTTTCCTTGCTAAAGAGGAGTGCTTGCTCGAACAAGAAAATATGCCGCTCCTTTCCTTTTCGTCTAAGCTGCTTTGGGTCAAACACAGTGAACGCGTCCTGAAACAACAAGACATCCGTGTTAGCGTTACACACAACAAACTATTGTAGCTAGGCAAATCTTACAGAATCTTTCATTACAACGTCGGTACGTGACAGAAAGTTAGGTTCGTGACAGGAAACTAAAGTGCACAGAATTTTTCAAACAAAGTAATTTTCTGAGTTTGGAAGAACACGATGTAACTAAGACGATATCTTTTTTTATAATACGCAATCACTTGAGGGAGAGTCTACCAATGCCTGCACGTTCGTAAACGAGAATCTATGAATCAGTGAAAAAAAATGTCTCTCAAATACCTGTAAAACAACTTTTCCTAGAGAATCGATGTTTTCCTGAGAAGAGAAGAACAGTGACAAAAGTTGAAGTTAATTGAGCAAAAGGTAAAATAACTTTTTACCTGTCCTGTTCGCCTTCAGATAGTATTGTTTGTCTAATCATCATGGTCTTTCAACCCTTCAAAATCGTAACACAAGGATTTTTGTACGAGGTTGCATCAGTTGCAAGCACCTCGCTTTCCCAACTGCAGTACATACACTTTCTCGGATTCATTAATAATTCATCAAGTTAACGAAGTTATAACCGTGACTGAGTTTTCAGTTTATGATAACACCGGAGACAGTGTTTACTCACATTTCCAAACACCTGGAATTTCGTCAAAAAATACCACGCTACGCGTCTTATCTCGGTGTTTGAAAAAGTTATGAAACATCCACTCTCGTGTTTGATACAAAAATATTTCACTGTATCGTGTAAAAGGCACGCAATATGCAAGTGTACACTCGATAGCGAACAACATGTAACAGTAGTAAAGTTTGGAGAATCCAACTTAAATTGCGCTAGAAATTAAGCAGTCCCTGATTCTCTTTCGGCCCCGCCACCCTACACCGGACGAATTTGAAAACGGAGGTTTCACTCTGAAAACGCAACAAATGTTCTCCGTCCACACTACGCCGGAGGAATTTAAAAACGCAACAATCATCGGTCATTTTGGATTTGTATTTGAGGAAAATACGGGCAGGGAAATCAAATAATTATCGTGACAATGTCGTTTTCGAAGAGCTCGGTTTTCAAAATGTTTCCGTTCACACGAAAACGAAACGCCGGCGTTTTTAAATATCTCCGGTTTGGAGAGAGTTTTCGAAAAGCCACGTTTAGGTGACGGATTAGTGTGGACCGTAGAAATAAAGCTGCGTTTTCAAATTTCTCCAGAGTAGTTTGAACGCTGCTTTAGTAACAAAACGTGAACACCAATGACCGTGTCTTATTTAAAAGCTTGATAAAGTTATCAGCGAACAAAGGCGAACACTTCATGCCCAAATCTCTTCACAATCTTGCACTGCCAGCAAATTCAGCACGGACACCAAGATTACACAAGTTTATCTGAACAAAACAATGCACTTACATCATATCCATGAAGCATATTCACATACATGGCGTCGTTAGCTCGTCGAGGTACGCTGAGCATTACATCCAAACCAGCCTGGAATAAAGAATATAACATTAAACATGAATAAAACACACCGCTCTAATCTATTTTTTTTTTAACAAGCTCGTATAATTTGGCACCCCGTGGCGCGAGTGCGTTCGATAAAGGAAATAGTTTATCTTAGTTTTAATTTTCCGAGAGGTTCTGTAGCTTCACTTAGGTATCTCTGTGGTTGAAGACGGCGACTTTTTGTATTTGTTGTGTAAGGACTCGGTTAGTGTGGATTAAAATGGCGTTTTTGAAAGGGTAACGGGCTGAATGCGACTCGCGCCACTACGCGAGAAGCAAAACAATTCTTCCATTCACAACCATGAATGAATTAACAAACAAATCGTTCAATTAACGTCTCAAATTGACTGATACTGGAACAGAAGCAGCTCAATTAAAATAACTCATCGTCTCGGACCTTAACTACAACAAAACATTTACTTTCAACCGTCAAAAGTACAAACATTCGTCAGGAGAACAACGTCAAGGCTTATTAATCTTGCCGTAAAAAGCTTAAATAAACAAAACAAGCCCTGGATTTACATACCTGTAGACTATTTTCCGATCCTTCTTCGCAGCATGTTAAAAGATCCTACAAGTGGGCAACACAGGTAGTTAGTGAAATCTTTTTCATTCCCAGCACAAAAGGGCAGCATGGAGTCTCGTATGAACACAGTTTAAACCATTAACAAAGTGAATGGTAAGAACAGGTGGAGTTTAACTCGAAAGCACGACCTCAAATAAACTTTCTGAAGATCACAAACCACTTCAAACGATGACCAGAGATTCTGTGAGACTTAACTGAACGGTACCTTACAGACCATACGAGCAACCAAGTTTTATTGTAAGGCAGCTAGCGAAGACACCACCAGAGTCAAAAGAATGCTTGAAAAAGCGCAAAACTTAAACTTGTCAGTAAATTAAAATATGTCCGCGTACAAAGGCATGTCTTTTGATCACTCACCTTCAGCAGTAACTGGTATTTTGTAATTCTTTGTACGGGTTTAATGAGGTAAGCCGAGATGGACAAACCATGGCCGTAGCTGGCTTGAAGGTCCTAAAAACACAAACATACCAACTGTAAGACTCTGTTAGACACTGCACGTTCTGTGCAGAATCGATACATAATTATGTCTGACAAAAATAAACACAATTGATTACAAGTTATGAGCACGACAATGTGTACATTTGCATGTGAAAGGACATGAGGACAATAGCAAATTCTTTATTGCTCACTCACCGCAAAGAAGTTTCCACCGTGTTCGATGAGGAGTGAGTTTGAAAACGGCTTGTTCTTGCAATACGCTACGTACATCCCGACAAACGATTCTCCCTGCGATGCAAAACAATTAACAGTTTGGACTATTTTTACACCTTAACAACCACAGCTTTCAAATCAATGTTACAAAACAAGTACTTGAAAAGGCGTGGAATCCCTTGACAAACACGAACGGAAACAGTTTATCATTAATCGATGAAGGTTAAATAGTGCGCGCCTGACAAGAAATCGCTGTTAGGTCGCTAACTTAATAAATTAGTTCTGGAAAAAATGGAAAGGCGGCTTATAAAACAGGTGATTATGGCGCCAACTCACCCATTCTTGAAACGCTTCGCCAACGTCTTCTGGGTTCGTTTCGTACTTTTCCAAAGCCTGCAGGAAAGTGCTGCAAAATAAGATTAAAGACATTAATTAAACTTTGATGCAAACTTCGTTTTATTTCCAATTCGTAGTCTCGATTAACAGCCGCAGTTCCTCGCGCTCCATCCTCTGAACGAACGAAGGCCGGACTCGAACGAACGAAGACCAGACACGAACGAACGAGGAACAGACACGAACGAAGACCAGATAAAAACGAATGAAGACCAGACACGAACGAACAAAGACCAGACAAGAACCAACGAAGACCGGACTCGAAAGAGCACCAGAAGTCAAGCCTCAGATTTGCACAGAAGCCATGTTCGCATGGATTTTCGAAAGCGCGGATTTTGAAACCGATTACTCTTCGTGCAGACGAAGAGTCCTCGGGACGATCTCAGATCTCCTCGGCTCAAACTCAAGAGAGTCGTGTAAATAAACCTCCCATTCCTGGTACATACCTGTTGTGAAAGCTGTAAATATCCTCAATATTGCCGAAAATAATGCTTTCCTTTCCTACAAGGCCTGATGGAACATCAGCATTGTTTGACATTGCGCTAATATAGCTCTACATAGAAGAACAGACAACCACAATATAAATTATTTAATGTATTGAAGTATATAGAAGATTTAAACAAACTTATCCTTGCGTCCGTTCACTCTACGCTTTGTTCGTGATTTGGCAACAACTATGTCCAGCTGGAATAATGTTCCTGTTTGACTAGCTTTTAGCGATTGATAAACAAACCTCTGTAATTGGTTTGAGATCAGGAAGTCAACCTTAATGATTCGTGATTTGGTCGACGCAGATTTTCCCGCGCTTTGCAGAAGTTTCATGTTTTCCCGCGCTTGGCACTGGTTCACGGTTTCCCGCGCTTGCCACTGGTTCATGGTTTCCGTCGCTTGTGTCCAGTTACAAAATTTTCTTTGACTTCTGATTGGTTGTTACAGAAACTACGACTAGATATATTTTACCCAATAAGAAATAAGAAAAAACAGCATATTCTCACCTCTATAACACAATTTAAATCCGCCACGTAAGTTCTCTCTGTCTGTAGCAGCTCGTTCATGATAAATCTGAGAGAGAGACAAGTCAAAATAAGATGTTTCATTATACAGATCTCTCAGTTATTACGCGCGTTGTGATTGGTCATTTTAGCAGGCCGTATTCTACTGTATGGCCCGCTAAAATTTACTAAGAGCTGTTTTTGTTACCAAAATGACACGTGATTCATCCCCAAGTTAACTTTCATAGCAAAAAGGAACTGAAAACTTTTCGTTGCCTTTAAGTTACGAATAAAACGAGCTAACGATTTCACAACGATTTCGAATTGAGTTACTTTGCTTTCGACGTGCGTCAGTCATTTGTAGCCGTTCCTAGAGCCTAGAAATCGTTTCATGAACCCTTCACCCACNCCCCCCCCCGCCGAATCCGTCAGACAACAGGTAGAGACACAATAAATATCTTACAAAATCGTGTTCTCAGTCCGTACTGTAAGCTACAGATCTTCGTTTTTTCGCTTCCCAGGCGCGAAGCGAAATTAGGTCCTTAACTTACTGTAGGAACCTCGAACGCGGTCAATTAGGAAGTTTAATAATGACATGGCTTTACAATTTCATGCTTGTTAGGAGAATTTGGTATTACATCAAGACAATATATGATTATTTTTTAATTTCCACCACCTGTCTCCATTATAATGCATTGATATTGTTAGGAGAAATTGTAATTTGATTATTTTTGATGATCATAAAAGATAAAGCGAAAAGAAGTATTTATACTAGTGATACAAGACATATTGACAGAGCTGTTTTCGAATTTTGACATTGTAGATATAAGCTTCATTACCAAATGATTAACAATAGATTTAAGAAAATAATTTTACGACCGCTATCATCTGATAAAACACAACTTTGAAATACAAAACAAAACTGCTATTTTCAGTGGTTTTACAGTCACCTTGTAGCGAAAAATACCCCTCTTTCAACCTACTAAAACGGATTAAGACCGCGATCCGGAAATGGTTTTTGCGACAAGAAATTAATTGTTTCTTTCGTCATCTATCCTTCAAAAAAATACTCACCATGTTGTCTACAAACGAACACAGGCTTACAACGGCAGTTTTGTCACGATTTATGGTTCTACCTGTTATTTGTCACAACAAAAAAATGAACACCTTCTTTGGACTTACTCTTTTCTCTTAGCAGATCGTCTCTTCTCCTCTGTCATCTCATGGATGCCACTATCTTTTGAGGTCTCTCTGAGAGCGAATGCTTGTTGTTGCTGCTGTCCTTGAGTGTGGAGAGACTGAAGACTCGGCCATTCCACCTCATCCTGAATATCAATACAAAGCAGTGAGGAGAAAAGCGTCAGCGAGCTGTAGCTTGTAAAATCGGAATCCTCGTCGGAGAAGTCGCCGGCGAATTCGTCCGCCATGACTCGATCCCACCCGCTTCAATTGACAACTACGTAGACCGCTTTGCCTCAACGCGGTCGCGAAGCGAAGGTAGAAATATGCACAGGAAATATCACAGCAGCTTTGTTAGCCATCGTTTTATCACGTAAATCCACATTTTTGGTGTGAAAATGAAGCCAGTTTACGCCACGAGTTCAAGATCCTAGTAAATTCTAATCAGTGTTCCAGACACTCCTATGTGTGCAAATAAAACTCGTGCAATTAAATCGCTATTTTCGCCTGCTTATTAGCAGCGCTATTCCTGTTCAATAGTCCACAAAAGATTCTCGAGTTTCGCTCCGTTCGAACAATCCCAATCTGTCGCTTTCGGAAACAGCCGAGTCAAATTTCCAACGTCAGAAATCCTCCGCTTGGATTCGACATGAACCCGCAGCTATTCCGCATGGCAAACACACACGTTGTGTTGCGGATTCTCGCGAGTTAAGAGGCTTTTACGCAAATCGCCTTGCTATAAATCTAAGCGACTCAATTTTGTTCGCGCGCGTCCACAGACCGACAATATGGCGACGGAGTCTCTCCGCTCGGTCGATCGCGCATCACAACAGAGTGATTAGCAGAAATACAAAAGAGAAACTGGATTCGGATATTAATTAGTAATAGTATGACCGGTGGTTCTTTTCGTGTTTCTTATTCATCCGCAAGAGGGGGCAGCGCCGAGACCAAATACAATGACAGGAAAAAAAATGCCACACGCGGTTTTTCAAAAACATTCTCCACCTGCTGCAAAGCCGTGGTATTTAGAATCAGAAAAGAAACACAGCTTTATCATAAGCAAATAAGATCAAGGAAACAATTTAACTAATATTCAATACTCGATTCGTGGATCTTACCACTGCTAAATGAATTTTAATTTTTAATTTTTGCCTTTGTTCAAAACGTTCAATATGTTGAAAGCCTTTGTGTGTTAAGAGAGTATCTTTTACAACTAATAGTGTACAGCTTATCCCTACATAGCGTACATCTGGATCCGTGTCAAGTTACGCGGAAATACGTCAACTCGGTCCGCAGAATTTTTCCATTTTCCAATTTTACGCGTTCGGAAATAATTTCGGAAAATCCCGCAGAGAGAATAATTGAAACATTCTTCAAATCTGACGAGTGCTTCTCGCAGAAAATCGTTTTTGTACACGGTCAAAATTCCATCACCGCACTTTATGCGAGACTGACGTTATGAATAAAGAATATCGATTCAATCAAGCTGTTGATTTTCCACAATGCAAAGCTAATGCATTTCCTGCATGAATAAGAAGTTAGTTGTAATAACCACTAACCGCAGGCTATTAGGAATACGAATTAAACCGGCACATAGAAAGGAGTTTTTGTATTGTACATGTATGTTTTCAGATAAACATTAATAAATAGACGGTAAGTTTTTTCAAGTTCGCTTTCTCTGCCCTTGAGTGAAATTTACGTGAGTGTATTTTTAATCCTTAGCCTCTACAAAAACACAAAAGCAATTAAAAGGTATACAATTTCTGTTCAGTCGCTCATATTAAATGGTTGAAAACTTGCGAGAGACTTGGCGCGAAAAAGACAACGGGCGCCAAAAGAGGAGGAGGATTGGGGAGAGCATTTCCTGTGTTTCGTCTAACCTTTGGACTTTTAGATCTTTTTCAGTCATACAGAGTTTATGGAGGACGTAGGGGGGGGGAGAATTAGTGAAGAACAAGCCAAGGAGTTTGGGAGGAGTGGTTGAGTTAACAATAGGAAATACACGAAAGCATTTCATACCTCGTGTTCTGAGACTGTATACCCCAACTTGTTCTCCAGTTTAGCGCGGTATTTCTGCATCCGTCGCGCGAAATCTTTGTATCTCTTCTCCACTGCTGTGGCCCATTGGCGGATACCGTCGCCATGGTAACAGGATTTGGCGATCAGAGTTTCTGCTTGGTGAAGCATGGACTTCACTCTTTCCCTGATTTGCTGTAAAATTGTGAAACATTGTTACGATATTACGCACTCAACAAGTAGACAATTATGGCTGCAAAAACGTGAGCAGGGCAGTTCAAGAGCTTCATGGCATTTGCTGATGATACGTAAATAATAAAATTTCATAAAGTAAAAGGACCAAAATTAACAGCGGAATCCCGATTTTTTTAACATCCAAGGGAAACGAAAATTGGTTTGAAAAATCGGGTAGTTCGAGACATCGGAAGTAAAATTACAGTGTTCACTCAGTTCGACTGAGACAAAGAAAACGACTGTTGGTTTGAGGTATCGTGAGGTTCGAGAAATGGGGATTCTACTGATCTACTGATAATCTAGTACATTAAAATTACCAGCTACACAATCAAAGAATTAGCTACTTTCAAACTGGAAGCGTTAACCTTTAGCAAAGCACAAAACTGATTAAAACAAAGAAACACCACAGTCAAAGCAGAAAGTGAACCAAAAAAGTTCCACACACCACTTCATATACCTCTGAAGCTTCCTTGAACTCTTGATGTTCATCTAACAGCTCTTTAGTCTGTACGTCGGTATCACCCTCACCAGTCCGTGATGACAGATAAAACTCGCCATTCTCATGGATCCAGTCCAGCGCCTAAAACAAACAACGAATTGTCACTTGATATAAAGAAAGGAATACCAAGAAATACGGAGGGCGTGAAGTGAAATATAGGAGAATGGGTAAGCTGTCTACCAAAAGAAGCTTCATTGGGCAGGATTGCTTTCCAATATGCCAAAAATTCTGGAAAGTTCGGTCGGAATTCATATGGAAAGGTCTGCTTCGGTTCCTTCTGACCAGAATATTCGGTGGTCCAGTTTGATCGGTCGGACCGAAATTTGCCGTTCCATTGTGACAAATCGGTTCAGTCATGTAGGGAATTCAGGAAAGGAATAAAAATGGTAAAAGCCATTCCCGTCGGTTGGCCCGGTTTGATCGGAAAATGTCGTTCCATTTTTTCTTGGTTAGTCCTACTCGTCTCGGACCGGTCTGTCTGGCATAATGGAAAGCACCCTGAAATTCTTACGTGCGCCTAACGCGCGCCCTACCAGATTTCCCGCCAAAACTTCACACTTGACGTTCAGATTGATGACTTGTGAATACAAAAGCCACAAAGCACGGATTACCAGTATCTGACTTTCTCGCGATTTGACACCGGTTGCCACGGCAAAGCTGTTACTGTTGTGTGACAGTTTCTGATTGGCAGAAACTGTGCATTGCACTGGCTTTCTCGCTTTGAGTATCTCTTCTCATTTTTTAACAAGGAAAGACTAAACAAAGTAGCCTACCTCTTTAGCACACTGTTCCAGCTCAAGATACTGTAGACAATACTCTGCTAGCGTTCGCCTGCCATTCCACACATCCAACACTTGCTGCTCCTGCGCTCGAAGCTGTTCTTGGACTTCCTTCACTTGGCATTCCACTCGCTCTATCGTGACGTCCGGGCGCTCAGCACTTGGAGGTGCGATCGTGGACAAGAAAGAGTCAGCGTTCCGCTTCACTTCGAGCAGGCCCGTAGCGATGGAGTCCTTGTCTTCATCGTAGCTCTGTACAATGGCTTTCATGGCATCTAAGCGTTTCACTGACTCGGTTTCGATGAGTTTACTACACGGGTCTCCTTCTTCCAGTTTGTATTCACGAGTCAGGCGGTCCATCAGTAGGTAAACCTTTTTTAGATGAAAATTCACAACGATAAGACTGATGACGAAATGGAAACTATTTCGTCTTAATAAACAACACAAGCCATTTCTTGACCCCTTTTGTCCTTTCCTTGAGTGCATCCAAATCTACCCACACAGTGACCGAATGTCTGACTGATTGACTAGAGACAGACAGACAGACATACAGGAAGACAGTGATAGTAAGACAGTTAGACAGTAAGACAGACAGACAGACAGACAGACAGACAGACAAACAGACAGAGAGCCATTTTCAGTTCTTCTTTGCCTGAATTTCAGAGCGAGCCTTGTACGAAACCCTTTACTCGAAAAGGAGCTTGACAATAAAAATCAAAATCTTGAGTTCAAACTCTGTACATTATGAACGCTTGTCAACCAAGACTTCCTATGAAACAGAAATAAACATAGCTACTGTCGTTCAATTTTACATTTGGTACAATTTGATATTTTCCTTTGTTTCAAATACATTTTAATATATAATTTACCGTACACCAGAACAAAGGAAAGAAGCAAATACGTCATTGTGCAGTAGTATGCTTAGTTACCTGGCCTATGAATACAAGCGAGGCTGCGGGTGGCCTTGCTTTGATACAGACCTCTCTGCTTTTCTCATTCAAATACCAACTAGTTATCATAAGAACAAGTTGATTTACAGAACAAATGCGGTGAGGTCTGTATCAAAACAAGGTCACCTGGAGCGTCGCTGCCATTCAAAGGCCAAGTCACTCAACAGACAGCTGTAAAATTATCTACTGTCCCCACACAACAACTACTGACTAACCGACTAACTGAAGCCGTTACCTGTTCAGCAGATTTGAAAAAGCTGTAGGACGCGGTGACGACTTTTCTTCTTTCCTCCGACTTGCTCATGAGCTGTTGCCATCGCCGGCTCATGTTATCAGCGCAGTTCCAGATGGCTTCAGGATCAAAGTGGCCATCTTTCATCAATTTGTCTGCGCGTTGCCGCACTTCATTCGCACTCTGACAGGTTTTCTGCAAACAAAACAGATCCCAAGAATTTGTTTGAACACGCTTTGTTACGCCGTTTTAGGGGATTCTATCACATACAGATTAGTCCTAATATCCCTAGTTTAAAGCTGTTCCAAAACACTTAATGCATACAAGAGGGCAAGAAAAAAATATTGGATCATAAATACTGCAAAAGAGTAAAACGGATTTCCTTGAGTTCAACTTTAAAAATCTTGTCCAGCAAAGATGGAAGATTCGAGATTCGCACGCATTAGCAATCGCGCGTAATTTTGTTAGAGTGTTTTTCTAGTACTTGCTGTTCCAACAACAAAAATATAGAAGCAAAACAAGCTACCAGAAACATTACAAAATGTTGCAATACCTCAATAGCCCTCTGGAACTCCTCATGTTCTCTTAAGAGAGCTTCCGCTTCAACCAGTGATGTTCCAAGTTCCGTACTGGCATAGAGCATAGCCTCGCCATTCCGAACCCATCCGATCACCTACCGAAAAAAAACAGAGTTAGTAACGAATATATTGAGGCAACGTCGAGAAGAGGTCAAATCATCACTATTGTTTGCCTGAAACTTCCTTATACTCTAGGGTTAGGGTTAGTCTCGAGCACTCTCGGCGACTCTCGTCAAGTCTCTTGCACTCTTGGCAACTTTTGTGAAGTCTCGTGCACTTGGGGAATTTTGTTGAGTCTCGTGCACTCTCGGAGACTCTGGTCGAGTCTCGTGCACCCTCTTTAACTTTTGTCGACTCTCGTCAAGTCTCGTATACTCACGGCGACTCTCGTTTAGCCTCGTACGCTCTCGTGCTCTCTCGTCAACTCTCGTGCTGCGCTGTCTTTGACATTGAACTTGTTCGTTTCCTAGTTTGTCCCACGCTCCCTAAGAGAAAATTATCGTTGGCCGCTCGACCTTATCGTTTTAGCATGGCCCTGGTACTTTACTCCAAAAAGTCAGCTTGCAAATTCTCACATCCTCTTTGCTCTCTTTATGCTGCTATCGTAGCAAGAAGTTATGCTTTGAACAGTAAACTTAGAAGTTCTTCCTCACCTGCTTAGCATCACTTTCAAGTTGACGCAAAAGTAAATTCTGTTCTAGTTTAATTTTCCTCTCCTCGGCTAAATCCCGAAGATCTCTTCTCTTTCGATGTAAAACCTCTAGTAAATTATGAATATGGGTCTGCGCATCAATGTTCTCCATAGTCAAGGGATCCTTTACACGCAACTCAATCTCGGACTGTTTTAAATAGTCTATGAGTTCTTCGCCTCGACAGAACGTTCTCATTGCAGCGTTTTCAATGTCCTTCATTTGTTCTTCATGATGGTTTAGAGACTGTTTTGCTCGAGGAAGATCCAGTGCTAAGCCGCCTTTTTCTAAATGCCCCTCACAAATTTCCAGACGGTCCTTGAGCTACGAACAACAACAAAAAAAAGAAAATGTAATTTTAGATGATGTAAGGAGCTGAAGCAAGTAAACAAACAGTTGCGCACAGAGAGATTGTTTCTTATTAATATATCATCCTGGAACATAACACTGTAAAAAGATGATTGGTTTCTTTAACTAGCTAAATATTTTTTCAGGTGTTTCGAAACTGGATATGGTGTCCTTTCAGCGGTGTTGTTTTAAATTCACTTGAACCTATCAAAACGCTACACATCAGCATGGTGTCTGTCGCTGGGGTGGTCGTTTCCGAGACGTTTCAAGAGAGAAAGCGTTAAATAATCATGTCTCAATTTTAACACATTACTTTACTTTACATGCGATTAGATATTAGACATTTTGTCTTCCGGGGTTAAAACTAATCTTGAGCTAACAACACTCGAGTCCAGACAGTAAAATGTCTAAAATGGGAAAATAACCATCGAAGTTCGCCATCTCTCTTCTAATTACTTCTAAATTTTGATCATTTTACATGCACGTCGATGTTTCGCAAAGGGCAGCCAAAATTGCAACAATATGCAAAATGCAAGTGCAGGTCATTGCCAGCTCTATAGCATCGCGGTTGCCTTTGCCTGTACCTGTGCACAGTGCAGTCTTTTTTTGTCTTTAGTTGAAGATTTTTACTCATGTCTAGATTCATTTCTAAACCACACATAAATCAGATTCCACGGGTGTTACCCTGAGCCATCTTAAGTTCTAACGTTCAAATTGCCTATAACGCTTAGTGAATGCAGAGTCCAGCTGGCGACCAGACTGTTAATTCCACCAACTGGGGAGTGTCTACGTCTGGGGATGGGTTTTCACGCTTTAAGAACCCGTTAATCGGGCCACTTGACACGAACAGTTTACAAAGAACGCCTTGCTGGTGCTCGACTTAACCTTAAGCCTTGGTCAAACGGACTCGTGAGTAGTCACAAGTAGCCGGAAGTTGAACTTGAGTAGAGACTTGCGCTGGGTCGCTGAGTCGCAAGTTTCCGCGCGANAAAAAAAAAAAAAAAAAAAAAAACAGTTTTCCTGATTACATATCCTGTATTTCATTGGCTAACAAGTTGCCTTAACAAAGAACAGACGTCGCTCAACTTGCGTTGACTTGGTTTGGTTGGCCAAACTGTGAAAAACCTGCATCGACTCGCGCGCAAATTTGATCTCGACCAAAGTGAGCGCAAGTTATCGCAAGTCAACGCAAATGCACCCAAGACCTGGCCAAACGGAGTCGCAAGTAGACCCAAGTTTACAACTTGCGTCTACTTGCGAGTCCGTTTGGCCAGGGCTTTCGTCTAACAGACCGTTAACATTTTAACTTCTACAGCGGAAAACCTAAACGTTCTAGCATAAGTTAAAAATGTTGTACACAAATATTCTACTGCTTGTCCGCGTATGTCCATGAAAAGCTAATTGTAATAAGTGAAAGCTATTTAAGCAGTACTTTTATATGGTGATGTTTAATATCATATTTTAGGTACTCGCATGTACTCATATGGGATTACCGAAATAAATTGTTGTTGTTGTTGAGATGCTCTACAAGATGTGACCATTCAAATGAAAGCTATGGTATTTATGGTATTATATGGTATTTCTAATTATGCTGTACATGGTGGTTCCAACTTTTAAGTCTTTGGATGACGCCCTTGTGTGTTGCCCTTTTCATGTTCCAAGTTTTACCTCTCGTGTGTACAAAGTCTGTTGACAGAAGCTGTCGAAGAGCGCATACATATGGCACAACTCTTAAAACACCACACAACTAGAAATATATTTCATCCTCTTTGACCCCTTTTGGAACACTCCATTTTCTCATGTCTGAGACCGAAGCAATGACAATTCTCAATGATACAGAAAACTCGTTTTAGACACTGATGTTGAATCTGTGCCCCTGTGTAAATAACGACTTACTAACTTCAAGTGCGTACGAATATTAGCACGCCATTTTCCGGCGACAGTGTCAGACAAGGTTGCACGTCTCTGACCACAAACGCAATTTTGCAACCTATCTGATAAAATTCTTCTGTAAATAATCGACGATTGACAAGTGAAAAATATTTGTTTCGGTTTGTTTTAATTAGAGATATGGCGTTATTTTTTCAAGCTACATTGTAGCTTTACAAAAATTCCAGTGAATAAGTGCCAAATGATTTTGTTTAACGTTGGTGGATAACTGTTTAGTTTATGAAAGAACCTCAAGGGCGACCATTCAAATGAAAATTGTTCATAATGACATTCTTGTGGCACGGTTAATTATGCCGTACAAAGTTTGTAACCTGTCAATTAAAGCGTAAGGTGCGACTCTTTAAATAAAAGCTGTTTATCTGTTCATTCTTGTGGTGAAGTTTACTTGTAAATACACTTTTCAAAGTTCTTCAAACATGTTTGTCGATACAAACACGAAGTGTGACCACTAAAATGTAAGCTGCTGAATTATACATTTTTGCGGTAAGGTATATTATGATGAACGAATCTGTGGTAAATTATGCGTCCCTGAGGAAGTTAACTTTGTGTTGTGACCACTGAAACTGAAATGACTAAAAAGGCCATATTTATCTATTCAAGTTTTTAAAACAAGAACATAACCAGGGTCCTGAACAACATTATAATCAGCATGAAACGTCTTGTGATCCCGCCCTTGCTCTTTTATTGCTATTAGCAGTTTACCATTAGTGTTTCAGCAACTTAAATTAAAAGAGGTCAAACTGTCACCCTCTTCTACTAATGGCTCCGAACAATGAACATCTTAACTGCACAAAGGACAGCTTACATGAAACAAACCGCATCGAAGCATAGCAACTTCATTTTCAATGCGCAGTGGATTTTCTAAATTAACAGATCTTTGTACATGCTAAGTAAAACTTGAAGTTGTTCCCCCAAAGGGTCCAACTTCGACTATAGGAATTTAAGAAACGATAATTTGTTGTACAAACCAGCGTGCAAAACAGCCGCACTATTAGGCTTTTAAGATTCTTCCACTAAACATGAGCACCCTTGCAAAGATCCTGTGTAAAAATCGAGCAGAACCGCCAAGGAAAGAAAAGTAAAAAAACTTGATTTGAAGAAAATATTGTCAGATCAGGAGGGTTACATGTGAGGTTATAGCAAAACAGATCGTCAACAGCATGTGTCTTATGATATGGATCATATTTCAAAGTGTATAAATATCAGAACGTCTAAGAATCAATTGCCGACTACAATGTTTGTTTACTTTGGTGCTTTGGCACAAAGATAAGAATTTTAATGCATAATGGATGTTTGAGTTGGAAATTTTCTGCGAAGCAAATTCCGAATGAGCATTTTGCAGTTATCGACTATCGCGCCAAAATATCCGCGAGATTTATGTCATAACACAGTTCTATGCTAGTCACATGAAAGTTGTTTGTATATTCTAGCTAATAAACCGCGAAAACGCTTGGCAAAGGAAAACATGGAGCGCCGAACAAAAGCACACAACAGAAATATTCGAACACGCAATTTCATTACTGTGACCCTTGACAGCGCTTAATCATCTTACGAAACACACAGCAAGGCTTCCACTTCGAAAAATCTTATTTGCCTTGTATATATACCAAGCTTATTCGCAGCTTTCACTCTTGCCATAGGAAATCACGCTGCGATTTTCCCGAAATCGCCTTCAGTCTCAACAAGGAAAAGACGAAACAAGCTCACGTATTTTCACACAGCGCTTTTAAAGTGATACTTGTTCCGTCTTAGCTTGTTAACTCAGCGTTTCGGGTCGCGGCAGATTTCCGCTGCGATCGATTTACCAGGTACAGACATGCCAATGCGTATCGCTTCATGCGATTAACATTATTTGGAATTAAGGGGGCATTAAAAACTCACCATCTTCGCTGATCGTTCAAATTCCCGCAGTTGCAGCCAGCACTCTAACTGCTGCCGTCGTCTCGTCCACGAATGTTCAATTGCTCGCCGCACCCGGTCGAGCTCCTTAATAACTTTCTCAACATGTTGAAGCGAGCTTGAATCTACCCCTTCGGAACTTGCAAGCTTTAATTCCTCAATAATCGTTTCGCCTTCATCGATGGCGGTGTGGATAGAATCCAACGTCGCTTCACCTTGGTGTTTCAAATTCGTAAGCACGGTAGCGATGTTGTCTGGATTATCGGACACCTCTTCAAGTTCAAGCTGAGCCTTCAATTGTTCCACTAACTCAGAGAGCTGAAAAAACAGGGACGACAGTGTTATAACAAAAACCACCGTGGAGTCATCGTCCGTTTCAAGCTCGGCTACGCTCATGTTTTGCATGCAAGGTCCAAGGCAGACAGCGCGCGCGTGAGTGTAAAACTGTTCAGTGTCTCTTCGTGGGTCCCTTGAGAGAAGAGGAGCCAGCGCTGACTGCCTGGCCTGCAAGCGAATCGCGGCGCGGCGGCGCGCACACAATACAATCACAAATGAATTGTGTATCAGTGTACAAGATCGGCCATGTCAATTAAATTCCAGAATCTTCATGACTGACATGGTTGAGATGAACGTAAAATAATAGGTCAATAAAAAGAACAACAACATCAATGATGTCACAGAGCAAAGCAAATGAAGTGCACTTGGCTTCCTGTTTTGAACGCACACAGTTCTTCTCGCGGCACGTAACGCACTAAAGTGCGTTCTACAACGCGATTGATTTAAACCGGCAGGATTTTTCACAGTGGATAAGAACTTAGCAGTTATGTAAGCGACTTGGACAAGATCGCATAACTTATCTTAACGTGATTTGACGTTTACACCGTACACGCACAACAAAACACAGTGACAGACTCAGAACTTGCCTGGAGGATACAAGTATTGCATACCGTCAAAGGCCGCACCAAAGCCGAGGGAAACATGTTTATAAACAGCGCAAATTCGAGCCGTTTCACAGATGGACTCACAGCGAGCACAAAACGTTACGATGAAAGAATGAAACCATGAACTGTCTGAGCAATCTCAGTGAAATTTGACCGTGCGCAGTAGTAACTCTGTACGCCAAACTGTCATGACCTCCTGCAAGCAAGACCGATAATTAACTCTGAATTTAATATGCACAATTACGCTGCCTTACCTTTTGTGTCCGAGAATAGAAGTTGACAGCTAATTTCAGCAGGCTTTTTCGTCTGTTTACACGGTTTATAAACTCTTGGACGCGCTTTTCGAAGTAATCCACTCGCTTTTGAATCTCGTCCGCGTTGCACTCGCCCGTGTTAGCCAAATGACGGGCGGCTTCCAGAAGCTTTGCCGCGTTTGTGTAGGTATTCTGAAATACAAGCCCCAAAAAACACGGGTTAGTGTGAATTAAAAGTGCTTATTTCTAAATTAAGCTGCAGTGCAGACACGTATATCGGTCTAAATCGGATCAAAAACACTTCAGATTCACACGGAAATATTTCCCCCTCCCTGACATAACCGACAATTTTTCTGCAAATTCCTTTCAAAAATGTTACTCTAAATAAACCTGCGGTCCGTCGAATCTGGCCATTCGTGACCGCACTAATGTGGAATAATTTTAATAGAATAATTGACAATCATCTCCATTACATTTATCATTATGTAAGTAGTGTATAATCAAATTTGTTGGTGTTTTGAATGCAATCGCAAAGTATTAGAGTGAAACACAAACCTTTGTAAAATAAAAAAAAAATGCGTAAATAGAAATACAATCTTGATTCAGTTGACTAACTGAAGCATGAATGTAAACAGGATAAAGTCATTGAAGTGGGGCGTATGTTTGTCTAACGCGAGTGAAAACTTCGCTAAAGACAATGCACTTTAAAACAATACTAAAGTTAATTCTTCTCACACATTTCACATTAACGCTAACCGTCGCCTGAGAAAAAGCGACTAAGTCGAAAAACGGATGACTTCGCTATCTCAAGTTAGCACACACTAAACACGACTAAAAATAAAAGATATCTCTACCAAACAGAATTATGATGATAAAGTCGACGGAAGGTTAACTGTCGCAAACCTTAGCGTGGGTTGGCAGGAACACGCAAGAAAAGAATGAAGTTAAACAGATTAACAACCAATTTATTTTAACCCTTGCACCCTTTTAGCTCCAAAAGCGGCCAAGTATAATATTCAGTAAGAAATCACAAATTTCATTTTTTCAAACATTAAAAATTAAATATCAGCACGTGAGAGTACTGCTTAGACACTTTCATTTGAATGGTCACACATTAGGGTTTCATCCACAGACTTAAAACTTTCAAGAAGGAAGGAAAATAAGTTAATTAACAAAGGTATGACATCAGAGATTAAAATCGGACAAAACGGCAAAGAAACTAAGAACATTAACGACTGAAGACTTGCAAAAGGTTGCCGTTAGTGTACATTCATTCCAGAAAGTTGGAGAGCGCGGATAGTAAGATTGAAAAGGATTAATCTAGCTTGTCAAATCAACAAAACTTTGTATGAACACCTTAAGCCAATTATCTCGGGCAAAAAAACGCAGCCTACTCATTCCGGATCGAAAAGGGCATTTATGACACACGAAAAATAAATCAACGACTCTCAAAGTACACCATATCGATAAAGCCGAATTATTTCACTAAGCTGGTTACCATAGACATGTGACGCCGCACTTGAAACTGTAACCATTTCGTAACGGCAACCGTAATAATTAAAAAAATTGACACAAAAAAAGAAATGAAAATGTCCAACAGTCAGGCAAACAAGGGGATGAAACACCAGGGCTTCAGAAAATAATAAATAGAAATGATATAAAGAAAAAAAGTATTTCACCATTAACAGAATAAGTCGTAGAGGAAATCAAAACATGAGGTTATGACATTATCATGGCAAACTCAACCAGGGAATTAAATCCACGAAACTACCTTCACTTTAATGAGCAAACACAGTTGGTAATTATTTCCCCACATTTACTTAAGATCAAAATAGTGTTTCCAGAGGAAAAACATCGATTAATTAACAACAATTTATCATAATTAAAAGGGTGAGGTTCATTTGCTCTAAAGGCAATTAAAGATGTGTCGGTTTTTAAGTCTCTGGATGCAACCAAAGTGCGTGACCATTCACATGAAAGCTACAGAGCAGTACTTTCACGTGGTACTGTTTATTACGCCGTACAAGGTGGTTCTAATTTTTAAGTCTGTGGATGAAACCCTAGTGTGTGACCATTCAAATGAAAGCTATTCAGCAGTACTTTCATGAAGTACTGTTTATTATGTTGCACAAGACCTCTGATTCTAACTTTCAAGTCTGTGGATGAAACCCTAGTGTGTGACCATTCAAATGAACGCTGTTGAGCAGTACTGTCATGTGGTACTGTTTATAATGCTGTACAAGGTGGTTCTAACTTTTTAAGTCTGTGGATAAAACCCTAGTGTGTGACCATTCAATTGAAAGCTATTGAGCAGTACTTTCATGTGGTACTGTTTATTATGCAGCACAAGGTGATTCGAATTTTAAAAGCCGTCTTAACACAAGTTGTGAGCCAAGAAATCGAAAGCACGAAACAAAATTAGGAAGCAGTAGTAAAGGTCATTGAGTTATCAGCTTTAAAAAATCCAAAATGTTTAAGTAATTTCCTCAGATCTGAAAACTCATTGTTGGGTGGCCCAGGCAAATCTTGACTACTTAAATCAATATCTTCTTAGTAAAAGACAAATCCAAATCTAAATCTTAATGCTGTATGTGACGGTTATATCGTCTACATCTTTTAATTCATTCCTTTTTGAAGAAAACAAATCCCCTAATCTGATTGGCTGAAATCCATACAGTTTGATTAATTAATGACCTAAGCTGTCAGGAAGAATTGGAAGAGCTTGGAAATCTGTGTGAACCCCTGACCTACGTAGACGAGGATTCAAATCTGGTGTTTTGTCCTATGCAAGTGAAAGATCTTATCTTAGCTTTGTCCCATGAAGAAAAGATTAAGGGAACACAGATGAAAAATTAAAAATATATATATGAAAATGGCAATTTGTTAGCCAACAAGCTTAAAATAATCTCCATTACAGCATTGATTTGGGTTGTCACACATGCAGCTAGTGTAAATAGGTATAGCGTGACAATGCAAATAACAAACCTTAATCTTCTTGTCTACTACCAAATTCCACGTGCTCTCTCTGTACTAGTTGGGAGACTTTGATTTCAGATCACGAACAGTTGCCATAGATGCTCAGGGGTTTCAGTAAGGTTTTCAGTAGGAGGGTAACTGGTTCCAGTTTCACAGGCAGGTAAAACTTTTTAAACTTCTTTATGAGAAAAACTTTCCTTTAGATGGTCAAACCAGGCAGGCAAAATCATCCTCACAGCCAGTCAATTTGCTCGGTGCTCGGCCCTTAATGAAACCCCTGGATGCTCATTCTGAGAACTCTCCTTACTCATAACACTAAACATATAATAATGAGTTAGGAGAATTTATCTTTTAATCTTCACCTTTTCGCAAACTAACCTGAGCAATGCTTTCAAATTCTTCATGTCTCTTGAGCAGAGCTTCTGCCTTCACAAGAGACTTCCCAACACCCGTGTGCTTCAACAGAAATGTTTCCCCGTGCTCTTCAATCCATTTTATCACCTGAAATATAATATCCATCAAATGATTACTATTAATTAATTTGTGGAGGAACAGTGGCCTCATAGTGAGTACCCTTGACTCCAGATTGAGTGGTCCAGGTTCGAGCCCTGGCTGGGGACATTGTGTTGTGTTTTCTGGCAAGACACTTTACTCTCATAGTGCCTCTCTCCACCCAGGTGTATAAATGGGTACTGGTGAATTTAGTGCTGGGGGTGACCCTGCGATGGAATAGCATCCCATCCAGGGGGGAGTAGAAATACATGTATTGCTAGTCACTTAATGTTACAGGATAAGCCACGGCCTGTTGGGCCCCTTGTCTCATATGCAGACTTTACATTACCTAATCACTAAGCTTTTTATTCACTTATCTATTTATTCAATCATTTATTTATTTTATTTAATTACTTATTTATATAGCACTGACTACAGATTATATGTGGTGATACAATGAGTTTTTAGTGTTGTTGGCCAAAAAGATCTGACTAGCAATATCCACGCTTGATCAAAATCAAGAACTGATCTGTACTTCAATTCTCCTTAAAATATCAATACTATGTAATATGTTACAAGAAAGTAAGCAGCGATCATATAGGAAAATAAAGTGGAAAGAAATAAAGCAGTAGTGAGAGTTTCTATGTTGGCACAGGGTTCCACAATGTCTTGTTTGAAAATGTAATTACATTGAAATTGCTTCCCATGACCTTCGCAAATGCTCTTACATCAGCTGGACAAATGACCCACTGAGGGACCTCCAAAGTGTTTTGTGTTAGTTCAGAACTTTGCCCGCACCCCCAACCACTTCAAATTAATCAAAATTACTAGTAATTCAAACCAACCAGTAACATAAGACCACATGCAAGGGTAAACATGCTGTTATGTTAATTGTACCAACCTAAAGCCAAAGTGCATCTGAATTACCAAAATGTATTTTCTACTTTTACTTTACTTTACTTTTAACTTAGGGAGGCGCGGTGGCCTCATGGTTAGTGTGCTCGTCTCCGGATCGAGCGGTCCGAGTTTGAGCCCTGCCCGGGGACATTGTGTTGTGTTCTTGGGCAAGACACTTTACTCTCACAGTACCTCTCTCCACCCAGGTGTATAAATGGGTACCGGCAAACTTAATGCTGGGGGTAACCCTGCGATGGACTAGCATCCCATCCAGGCGGGAGTAGAAATACTCCTAGTTGCTTCATGCTACAGAAACCGGGATAAGCTCCGGCCTGATGGGCCACTTGGCTCGCATGCAGACTTTACCTTTTTCTTTTCACTTTCAACTTAGCATTACTGTTATTATTTTTTGAATAAGCATTGATAAACAATAACTGCTCTTTTTGTAATATTGCATTGTGGGGTTCAAGCCTTCCTGTTTTACTCCCACTACCGGATATCTAATAAAGTAATAAAACAGAAATATAACTACAACTTTGAACTTGAACTTGATCTAAATCCTCTTATAATGGTGCAAAATCCTCAGGGTTTGAAATCTGAGGTGATTGTAACATCAAGAATAAAGCTAAGTATTCCTTCTCTTGCAGTGATAAATTTTCTCTTTACCATAGATTCTCAAACTTAAACATTCTGAAAACCCAGTCCATTCATTAACATATTAACTTGAGAGACCAAATAGAGGTTGCTGATAACTGTTCCTGTGTCTTCTAACAAATAAAGATAATTTATTTAAAAATATATAACTACAATTTAGATGGCATGACAACAAAGAAACATCATTGATATTTTACAGGTTTCAGCGAGAACAACTGCACTAATGCTTAGAAACACCAGATATGTTAATATCAGAATACAAGTTAACAATAATTCGACAACAACTCCTCTGCAGTTGAAAATATTTTTCTAGCATACAGTAAGTTTAGATATCAGACCAGATATTCATTCAAATGACAAAACTCTGTGGCACAAGACCTCTGGAAATATCAAGAATGAAAGCTGTGTGTTTGTTTATATTTCAATTCTGCAAAGAATTGTAAACAAAGTAATGGATATCATGTGTTCCACAAAACAAAAAGTAAAAACAGCTTATACCAGTGTACTTCATAAATAAAAATATATGCATAAACACTTAAGAAGAAAATGGAAAACTCATTTGAAGTAGAATATAACAGCAATCGAACATTGATATATACATTTTGTAATTTTGTATACATATTTACTAACGTGTAAACACTTAATTTACAAGAGGAAAAATTTCCTAAAGAGGAGTTTGCCTGTACATGGAGGATTGGGATGACGTTGAGCCAAGCGATTGAAAAATAAATATAATTTAAATTTCCAAATTGTATAATTTAAATGGAAGCTATTTTGTCATGCAGTCAATTTTCTTCAAGATACAAGACATTTTGAGCATGAAAATGTGAACAAATGTTATAAGTTACAAATTCCAGTTGAAGTTTTTATGTTAAAAAATCTTCTTGAGTTTAGTTAAACATTGAAACACACAATGAATTGTTCCTTACATGACAATGTTATAAAATAAATGATTAGTAATTTTCGTATGTTATGACACTAAATGCCCCTACAGATTCTGCCAGGCCTCAGGATACACTCTGTCTTCAAGTAACAATAAAAAGGAAAACAGAAATACAGCTGATGTGTTATGATAAGAGTACCTACCATTTTCAGTGACATGTTAGTGACTATATGTAGATTTCTCGTTCCATTTCATTTCAGTCTTCTCTTTGTTGTTTTACAAATAATTCTTCCTAAATAGTAATTCTCAAACCCTCATCAATCTTCCAGTATGGAGCCCAGGTGTTTTCCAAACAAAAATATTATTTCTAAAGACCAAACCACTCTTGCTCTACACATTTGCTGTCAATTTATGATATGACATTATTTTTCAGTTTTATTTTGGGTCATTTCAAGAGCTTGGGGGTGATTTTAATATTTGCAAATACAGTTAGAAATAAAGCATATTAAAATTTAAAGACATTTTCCCAAAACACCTGCTTTATGACACAGGCAAATATACAACTCCCACTCTCCTCCTGGGTTTTACTCCAATTACGATTCGTCCTTTAACTGGAAGAAGCTTCCTTTTCAATTTGACAAAATTGACAAAACTAATGAAAAGAATTCAATTTACACCAAGAAACTGCAAGGAACCAATCACTTGAAATACACATAAGAAAAACTCAATAAGATAGCTTAATAAAACAATACAGTCACTAAACAATGGAGGTTAGCTGTCACATGTCTTGTGTGTGCTGTCAACCACACAAAGACTGTAATTTACATAGCAGACCAAACTGTGAATAAATTAGCATACATTGAAAGCTTTCTACAATGTGCCATGTTCTTTACTCAACACCTGTTGAATAAAAGAATAAGCCGGATTTCAAGTGGAGTCTGCTTTCCCTGTCTGCCAATTTTGTTTGGCTTAAAATCAAGGGCTGCTTCCTACGGTAAACTCATGAGTTTTAAATGAAAAACACTCTCCAGTGCATGAGGAAACTACAATTAGAAAATACAACTGGTTTGGCCTCTCATAAAAGTGAAACACACATTAGTAATCAGACACAAACAAAAACATTCTACTAGGAACAAATTGTCACCTTTTAAAATGATGTCTTTGAATTGGGAAATCTACAAGGAAAGGGTTTAACCCAAGACTGGAAAATTTGACCGTGAGGTTAGTGAATAACCTAAGGCAAAATTGTTCTAACAATAACACAGCAAATCAATTGAAGGAATATATTATATAGTTAGGCCAGTCAAAGGAAGCTGACATCCAGTGTACATGTAAAATATATTTTTAGTTTCCTCCACAAATATCGCACAGGGAAAAAAAATTGCAGCTTTAAGCACTGGCTCTGTGATCCATACCTTATACCATAAATAATTATTGTCTGTTAATAATTTCTTCTACAAATGATATTGTGGTGATATTTTAACCCAAAGAGACATGTACAACAGTGAATAACACAGAGCATACACACAGTAAAATGCTCACACATTAATGCTACCGTAAATAAAGTCAATACACTGAAATTGAAAAATACTGATGCTGGATCCAAGAAAGCAGAGAGTAGATTTTTATCTATATCACTCTCTTGTCTCTGGTGAATTTCAAAACAAAACATAAAACAATGAATATACATCGGAATATTCCCGTCATGCTATACTAAAGAAATATTAATTTCACTTTCATCTGCTCACTTCAACTTCCTTTAAAAATGTAAAATAAAAATTATTTTTCTTCTGATATCCATGTCCATGCAAAGCACTCTGCTTTTTGAAACCTGATTGCTTAAAATAAAACACGAATTTAAAATGATAAAATTATCACACTCTTCTATACATGCTTCACTACTGCTTTAGCTTCAAACTGAAGCACCAAATATCTCTCACCATTCTGCCTATCCAGTATCTATAGAGAAGTTCATTTGGGTGATCGTTGCGCAGAACAAGATCCAGCAATACCTCACACATTTAAACTGATAAAGCAGGGAGAAACTCCCAGTAACACAGGTGAAATTCATGTAAAGCAATCATTCTTTGCCACTTCTAATGCTTCCTTGTAAATGAAATAAAAAAGCTGGCATGTGATTGGTTCCTGTAGGCTTGGGCTGGGTAACAAATGGCTATTAATATTGTTGTCTGGAAGGAAAATTTCACTGAATTACTAGTTCAGGTATAAAGAAAAAGCAAAAGGTAGTATTTCATAAGCTAAGACTTTAAATAAATTTTACACTTTCATAACAAGGAATTGAGAATGCAATATAGTGGATAGTATGACACTCTTCACACCTCTAGACCAAAATGAAAATACTAACTCCAATTGAAAACAAGCTTTTGAATAATTTACCACCAATAATCTTATAAATCTGATATTAGCATCGTAAGTAACCAAAGAGAAATTCAAAAAGAGTAACATTCATATGAAAATGTACAAAAAACTACCTGAGTTGCTTGTTATTCAAAGGGAAACATACAAGAAGGCAAAAGAATTAAAGAAAAAATAATTGTCTTGTTGTTGTCAGTATTTTTCACAGAATCCAACAGGTGAAAACACAAGTTATATTACCAGAGAAGGTAAACAAAATATTCCTTACAAGGAGTAGGTAAAGTGTAGGCAAAAAATACTGACACCTCTAGGGAAGAGTTTAATGTATAGTCAATTTAATACATGTAAGCTTATCAAAGAAAGGAAATAAGAAAGTAAACAAATTCTTATTTGCTTTGCACAGGAAATATTAATATCATACTGAGACATTTAAGCATAGACTTGATCAAAAACAAAATTATATCAAGAACGACAGAATTTTCAGTTAACATTTGGCAAGAGAAGCTGGTAACAAAATGACAGATTAGCACTCCACAAGTTGTTTATAGGCCATTGTTAGCTGAATAATGAACTTTTGTAGCTAATCTAAGTGGCTCTATTACTGAGAAAGTTTTATTATTTTTACAGATTTTTTTATTAAAAAAGGTTCAATAAAAATCATTTGATGATATTTCAAGTTTATTAGCTGTAATCTGTAAACAGGATCTGTGCAATTCAAAACACACAAGTTTCATTAATTTGGCAAATGATCAGAGCGCATGCAAAATAAAAACATGACAAGAAAGATTGAAATCCTTCATTCATAAGAGAGAGCCAACAAAATGAATTACTCTCATTAACGCTAATGATGGTAAGCTTTAGCAGCAATGCAAATAAACATGATGGTTACAAAAGGTTGCTTTTTGCAACCAGATATCTTTACTGTTTTTTAATCTTCTTTATTTTTTGAACAAAATTTCGATTAAAAATCTAATATACTGACAGTTAATATACATTTCAAGTTGATAAGCCATGAAGTTTGATTTACAAACAAACAGGATACCTATGATTCTTGAAAAAACAAAACATGTATTTTTAGTTAGATTTAATTTGAAGTGATTTATTACAGAGAACCAAAGGAAAACATGCAGTATCTCAATTTCTTACAACTCTCATATTGTGCTCAAAGTAATGAGATCTAAACACAATCCAGCAAATGGGAGGCAAAAGATTGCCAAGTGAAATTAATATATGTCTACACAATCAAAAAGCAACCAAGTGGCTACACAATCAAGGAATGCACTACAAACAGGCCATATGTTGTGCCCATGATTCATAAGCCAGCACACACAGATAAAGCCCAAATGATCATTTCAACCTGACTACCCTTCAAAACAGAAGACTTCAAATTTACTACAATTAATATACCATAAAACTACCGCTTATAAGTCCCTTCAGTTATAGGCCCATTGGTTTTTTATTATCCTTAGAAGCTCCTTTCACCCCATGGATATAAGTCTCTACGTTTATAAGCCCATCCAAACCCCTTATGAAGTTGTATAAGCCCGCGGCTTATAAGCGGCAGTTCATGGTACGGTCCTTGTATCATACCTGTGAGCTGTCTTGATCAAACATACACAGATGAAGGTATTCTTTGAGTCTTGCTTTCCGTTTTTCCCACAACATTCCTAACTGTCTGTGGTGCTCGTGAACCTCCAGGTAAATGTCCATAACATGAGATCCTGCTTCTTCAGAATATTCAGGATTTTTAAGAAACTGATTTTCCATGACCACAGGAGATTTTTGAAGTTCTGCTAAAAGAGCCTTGCTGTCTGTGCTGACAGTCTCAAATGCATCCTCGATCTCTTGCCTTAAGTCATTTAGATCAGTTAACAAATTTTCAACTGCTGCCACTTCTTTTACATCCAGATAGTCATTATTCTGTAGCTTGTCTTGCCAGAGCTTTACATTGTGAAGAAACTAGAAATGAAATAAGCAAACCTGGTTACACTTGAGTTGAGGACACCACACATGCTTTTTACATAATTAACGCCAAACCAAAGATACTTTTTTGCAAAATTAGCACCAAACCACATAAATACACAATAGCCTCCATCTGGGGCAGAAATTTGCACAGATATTTGTCTGCGGACATTATCTGTTCCAAGAAGCAAACAGTTTTCTGAAAGCAAAGCTCCAGGAAAACTGTGAACTTTGAGGAACAGATAATGTCCAAGGAGAAATATCTGAGCAGATTTTCGCACCAAATGGAGGCTATTATGTTTATTATTCTTCAAATGTTTTTCGCAACACGCGCAGTTTTGAAAATTGGGGAATATCACTCGGATATTCCCCAGTTTTAGCTGGGGAATATTCAGTCATGTGATGCATGTAGCTGGACCAATCGCACATGAGCGAAAATATTTGATGGATTATAATCATAGATGACACGTAATGTTAATAAAATAAGTCAAGTGAGGTAAGCCTGAAAACAAAAGACTTCTCTAAGAAATTTCAGCTGTAAAAATCAGAGGAAGAGTATCATTAAACTGTACAAGTTTATCTATCCCTCTAAACCTGTGGGTAACTGACAACATATTGAATTTTAAACTGGACTTACAAAATTACAGCTTTAAAATGCTTTAAACACATACTGTCAGTTATTCTAACCAAAGTCCACTACCGTATTGATGACAAAAATTTTAACCCTAAAATGACCAAGATCTAATTTCTCACTACAAATCAATAAAACTAAGGTAAGGACTGTTTTTTTCTAAGGAAGGGGACAAGTCCTGCACAGCAAAAACTCCTGAACAAAATTGTGCAAGGGGAGCCATGGGGAAAAAATTGACTAAGAGCTAAAGTTCTACTATCATTATTTTGGTATTGGATGTTAAAAAAATTCTTGCACAAACTATTGCCCACCAAAATGTATCATACACAACCTAAAGGCAAGAAAAAAAATCATGCCCCAGAAGATTGCCCAACCCCAACCCCCCTCAAAAAAATGCTGGTATATCCCTAAAGAGCAAAATGTTAGGGTTATTTACTTATCTCTTAGAGTCGCACATATAATTGTTTATTTTTTCAATGACGTGTCCCATTCAAAACTTTGCACTGAGGAAGAAAAGGGCTAAGCCCAAAACGTCTGCTATATATAATTGGGTTTATTTTGGCACTAAATTATTACTATTTATAACTTTTGAACTGTTTACACTGTGCAACACAGCCACAGATCCTTTTGGATTACCGATATCTATTCAAAGATTGTCTGTTTAGACAGTGGGACAAATTGGTGTCTGCCACCTTCATTTTCCTGATGTTTTTTTTTTGTTGTTGTTGCAATTTTCTGGGAAATTTACAAATTTAAGCACGAAATACTTGAACTCATGAATATTCCAATCAATAATCAGACCTATTTTAGGTTGTTGTCAGACAAGAGATCGCTTTTGCTCAAGTCAGGTTGGTATCTACATGTGTCTTACCTCCTCACTGTGCTTGTGATAGGCAACAGAACGTGCTAACAAACAACTCCGCTGATTTATGTTCATATCAAATGACTTCCACTCGCGACTGACAGCCTGTGCTAGAGCTTCGATTCGGTCAGATTCATAATGCACAGCCTCACTTAGTTTATCTGCCACTTCTAGCACACGGCTGATGTTGGTGTAAACACTCTGAAACCAAAAAAAAAAAAGGTTAATAACAACATGGCAAAGGAGCACTTCTGCACAAAATGTTACCTAAAACAACTGTGTGTCTCTATATCCCAAGAGAATATGCTGTTGTAACATGGCGAGAATCACCTGGTGATTTTTTTACAGGAAGTCAATTGTCTGAGCATAAAATTATCGGTATGATAAATATTATTGATAACCTCTCTAAAGGCTTCCAAACTTTCATACACAAACATCTGTGCAACCACTCTGCAGACAACTTAGTTTCATTTCCCGATTCTAATTTAGTTTTCCATAGGATAAGGCATGGCAAAACCAAGAATTAACTGAAATTTTCTCTAGAAGTAATTGCACTGTGGATCTGCACTTAATCTGATCCATTGTACTTAGATGTTCCATTTGCCATAAAGGATAAATGGTAGTCAAAAATAACATACATTTTAAAGATACATAAGACCAATATCTGCATCGATTGTTTTGTTATTGTCTGCAGAACTTGTAAACACTGGCAGCTCCTTTCTAAATTTAAGGCATTTGAATTCTAAAAATAGCCTTAAGCACCAAAGCAAAGAAGGATGCAAATAACCTACATCTCTATGTTATCCGCACATTTATCAATTTCCTGACGTCTAATCAATTAATGTTATACAAGGCATGAAACAAACTTTGTCAAAAGGTATCAAGATTGATCAATTATCACAGTTAAGTATTTGTCCCAGAGATAGTATGTGTGCACTTTCCAAATCTATGAAATTGCCCTAACATATCATGGTATTATACTGAAGAAGGAATTCATTACGGCCACTTAATTCTGCAGCTGTATGCTAATAATAATGTGAAATGCTTTTCTGCTAGTCTTAAAATACTTTTCTAACACGATAAGGAATCCCCTCAGGTAGGCAACCACTTAATGGCCAGTTTCCAACTATCACTTCTAAGATTAGTCATCAACATCAAAGAAATTGTTAACATACAGTGTAAAGCAAAACTTTTATCAGTAAATCTGCTGATGTGTATAAACAATAAACAAACTTAAGTCAAAGTACAATATGTGTATTCATGAATGTTTTACATACACACATTGTCTAAAACACAAGCTTGGAATTATAACGTAAAAAATAAGGTGTCTTAAGAGGATATCACAAGGTTATCCTTATGTAAAAGCCTCTCTATCTTTATTTGGTTGATAACTTTGTCACCGGTACACAGAACACAAGGCATTCTGGACCACTTTTGTCCATTGCATTCCAGATAATGATTGGCATGTATTTTCTCCCTACAATATCTATACATTGTCAGGCAGACAGGTGGAGAGAATAAAGAAATTCATCGTGCAAGAGATATTCTCCCGATGTAATACCAAATTCTCAAAACCAAGAAACCGGTTAGTAAGGACACTTCATAATTTTAGCTTAGAGCGTGAAAAAGACACTACAACTTACATGTAATACAATGTAGGAGCTACACTGTGAGGTCCTGTGAGATGATTCTTTGATATTTTAAGGACTCAGCTGCAGCATACATTGTATTTTGGATTTCAAACCTGACGTTTATTTTCCAGTAAATCGATTGGTGCTGAATGGAGGAAAATACATATTTCAGGGCTTTTGTTTCACAAAAATTCCCTCAGAAGATTCCTTTTCAGTCAGTATCACATGCATTTGTTTTGTCTACAATCTCTCTTAGTCTTAATTAGTGATCACAAAACAAGCCTGCATTACCACTGACCCATTTGTCATTATCGCACTGGGAATGCACAATTGTGTGTACCTACAGTTAATTTACACTTTTCCTGTCTGATTAATTTGAATATGTGGATGAGAATTTCATGTGTGATATTCGAGTAAAAACTATTGACAGTACTTCCATGTGGTGCTGTTTTCTGTACTGTACAAGGTGGTGCGTCTGTGGATGAAACCCTAGTGTGTGACCATTCAAATGAAAGCTATTGAGCAGTCCTTTCATGTGGTACTGTTTATTATGCTGTACAAGGTGGTTCTAACTTTTAAGTCCCTGGATCAAACCCAAGTGTGTGACCATTCAAATGAATGTCATTGAGCAGTTCTTCCATGTGGTACTGTTTGTTATGTGGTATGAGGCAGTGTTAGGTTTTAAGCCTGCAAGATGAAAACCTAGCTTGTGACCATTCAAATGCCTGATGTCTCAGTGTTTTGGAAAATTTAAACATTTTTTTCCCAATTTTGATTTTTGGCGCTCTCGACAAAATCATTCTTACTCTTGTATTCCTAATGACATTTCTACTTGACAAAAGTTCTGGAAGTGATACATGTCTATAAGATAGGTCTTGGGCCTTATGCAGTAGTAAACAATTCATTTCCTATCCAAGGCTAGCAGTAAATGTTTTTTGTCATGGTACAGCTGATCACAAAACAATAGAGAGATTTTACTTGCTGGTTAGAGATTAATCTTCTTAATAAAACTGTCTGCTCTTTGAATAATCTGGGCCAGAAAACTACAACTAGAGGGTAGAAGCTACTTTCAAATTAGTCGTATCATAGCATGGAGTATCTTCAGTTTTAAAATGCAAAAATTAATACCAACAAGGAATCTAATAGTTATGCTCAAGAGGCCGAATATTATTTTAAGTTTTACATGCAGTAATTTGTAATCCTGAAGGAAATAATTTCTTGTATAAGCAATTAAAATTTGTTTTCAAGGGTCAACAGAACAAATGAAGTTGGCAGTAATAAACTTGAATTCACCTGTAAAACTGAGAATATTCTGTCTGATATATATGGTAATATACTCACTATGAAAACACAGGAAAACTAACAAAAAGCTACAACACAAACAAGGGTACTCTAAAGTAGTTTTGCTCTTTCCCTAGGAGCAAATTTCTAACTAAAGTTAATTTTTTTTCCCAACAAAAGTAGACATATATGAAGGTAGGAAGAAAGTAATAATGAAAACGTCTGGACAGACTCTGTTCAGAGAGGCAGATAAAATTAAATTTTCCTGGAAGATGGAAAAGATAACTCAAAATGAAACTCACCAACAATTTTCCTTCTGTCTGGGTAGAAAAGTTTTGGCAATATTTAAAGGTCAGTCAAAAATACTCTTCACAAGTTTATCAGCACGACAAGATCGGACTTGTCAGCCAAAATTTAAGTTTGTTATCATTGCATGACAGACCTCTAAATATTAGTATTCATAAAACCAAGGAAGATTCTCAGAACAAATCATGGCCCTGGCCAGCTGAGAGAGCTAGACAATGAATTACTATTATTTACAGCTGGAAAACAAAAGCAGTGTTAATAAAAACAATATTGCAAACCTCCAGGTAATGAAAATGCAGTCACGTTCTTGTGTAAATTAAAATATGCTATTATCTCAAGAAAAAGGATGAATTTTCATTGTCATTTAGCTGGTGGCACAGTTTATCTTCCTTTCAAAAAAGTGTCCTTCAATTTAGCTTTGACTCAAAGGAAAAAAAATTAATAAGCAAACATTTTCTTTCAATCTTTTGTAACACTTTCTAAATAAAATGATTTGTATAGCTTTTAGGAATACATTTATGATTCCAGACAATTCTATATATCTTAAAACTTCAAGCAAAAACATGTGAATCATTCTCACATTAAAATATAGCCAAGAACAATCATTCTTGACTGCTGAAATAAAATGCCATGATAATTTTTGACTTGAACAAATAACAGAACAAAATATTGTGATTATAATGACCTGCTGCAGCCGTGAGCATGAAATATCAGGCATAATAATAAAACTTGGTTGGGAAGAACATGCAGATAATTAAGCATGTGCACAGTTGTATATATTTGGAAGTCACAAAATAAAAATTCAATATTTTTTACAGGAATACAGTTACTTTTAAAAAAAACTAAACTGTTACAGGAATTAATAGTTAATATACTTAATTCCTAAATTTGCACAAATGATTACGGTGATGTTTCATAAAAGATATTTAACGGTAATTCAGTTGAAAAACTTAATGTAATTACTTGATTACTTGATTTCATCCAGTGCATTAGATAAAACCTTGACCATAAAAACACATTTTATAAATTCAAAGGGTAATTTAAATTGAACATGATGCAATACAGTGTATTCTATTGACAAATTTCTTGAATTCAACACAAGAGAATTCGTTTGCTTTCACACCACTGAATAAACCAAATTTCATAGTGGTAACAATCTGTGAAAAGACTGTTGACCTCATTTGACCATCAACTTAGCAAAATGGCCTCTGACTTTCTGGCAAATGTAGAATTTAGTCCCTCAAGAGGCCAACCTAAAAAAAATCAAAATCCAGGAGATCATCAATTTTACTTTCTCAACCCTCCAAAAAATGGTGTTAAAAGTATAGCTCAGCTGATTCAGCCACAAAAACATGTCCAATATTCCCAAAATTTTCCTTGAAAATGCCAAAAATTGGCCAAAATAGGTGCTTTCCTTCGAATCTGGGAGATTTAGTGACCCATATGGGAGACCGCAAGATTCAGTCTGTATGTGGGAAACTTATGCACTATCTGTGAGAGTTGGCACAGATGAGAGAGTCCCTCAAAAATATGCATCTTGCAGAAGTTTAGTCTAATTTCACAGGTCTCACCATTTCAAATTTTTTGACACACTATCTTGGAGTCTCCACTCCTTTTTGCAAGGGTAAGAATGTGTTGCACTAGTGGCCACAATAGAAGTCTCGGCATCTTGCAAAGTCTCAAATTCACCATTCATTACACTAGAATCAACCACTGCTTTTATGCCTGGGTAATTCTGTCATTGCACCACAGTCACTTGCTTTGTACTCTTAAACAATAATGTACATAAACTCTTTTGTCTTCATGAAGAAACCTTAATGTTTAATTTGTGCAATGACTGATCAAGCCTGATTTAAAAGACATGAGAGATAAACCTTAAAAAGCCAATTTCAACCATAAAATTCAACATTAATGGTTGATCAGAGGTAAACCAATAATTGGTTAAGATACTAGAGATTTCATGAAACAAGAGATACTGTACAT